TTACTACACCAGGAATAGCCCCCAAGTACTGCTGGGTGTGGCCCCCAAACCTAGTAAATAAAATAGCTGACTGCCTGCCTGCCTGCCTGCCTGTGGGCTATAATTTAAAAGCCCCCACAAATAAAAAATAATATAATTAAAAAGGCACAAATTAAAGTACTACTTCATTATTTAATGTAAGAGTAGGATATTTATTAAGTGTGAAATCATTCTATCTTGAAATATGTTAGAATATTATATGTGGGAAAGGGTCTTAGAGTTCAATGAGCACAATCCTTGGTTACTGGTAACTGCGATTTTAAAAGATCAAAGATTTGACTTGGCAACTGATTAGTGTGGAGAAAGCTGTTGAATTGCCTATCTTGCAGAATGAAATCTAGAGTTGAGTGGGATGCTCCTGAATTATTTAACTGTAGAATTGGAGACCCCTTATTTTGTGGCTTATGGCTTATGCACCATTGTCTCCACCGTTCTTGTGCACATGCTTGATAAACAAAATGAAGGTCTAGGCTCTGGAAGACTCCCATCAGGAGCTCCAGGTTATCCAGACTAATGATGGCATAGCCATTGTTAGATCAGAGGTCTAGTGTGACCCCTCTCTGTCTGCTCACTAGTCCAGACCTCACTTTAATGATATTACCATCTGGAGTCCAGACTATACATACCAGTGTAAGAAAATCAGATTTTTAAAAAAATACTACTTTCTGTTTCATCATTACATAAATTAAGCAGCTAAGTGTATATTATTTTGAAATCTTAATTTTTTTTTTCTTTAAACAGCTATCATTTCAGGAGGGCAGGAACATAGTTTAAGTGGTAGAGCACCTGCTTTGCTAGATGTGATACCCCCACAGTCTAGAAAACAAAGGTAAGGTAAAGGTAAAGGCCCTCCCGTTGATCGTCGATTTGCTCGAGCGGGCCCAGTAACGTCTCCATTGGAGACTTTGTTGTTACTGTGTCTGGCATATCGAATACTCTCGGTAGCTTGCCGGGCTCTCCGAGAGGGGCGGAGGAATCGAACTCGGGTCGGCCATGTTGGCCACGTGTAAGGCGAACGCTTTAAAGGATTGAGGTATTGTAGCTTAATTGTCTGAAGTCCTCAGGCTAATCCCTGGCACCACAAATAGAAAACTTAACATTTCAGAGGACTTTCTCTTCTAACACATGGTTAAGTTATTGAAAGATTGGATGAAAACAAACTAATCTTAATTTTAAAATTCAAATTATGGTATATAGCTAGAATCTATTTAGGTGATTCTGCAAATGACTTTTGCTAGTTTTCCTTTTCTTTTTAATGTAGCAGAAGTATATAACACGTTACTACCCCGGGAGGGCAAGACTAGATTCAGGTATTTGATATGACACTTAAAAGATTCTGTCCTTTGAGAAAGCCTAGGTGGTATGCATAAGTAGCAGAATGGGGATTGAGTAAAGAAAGTAATTATATAATTTGGTATTTTAAGTGTTTCACGCTATCACCTCTGGGGGACACTGGAAAGAAGGGGCGGGTGATAGTAGTTCTCAGAGGCAACTGGTTCACAGAACTGAGCTTACATGGATGTGGGGGAATGACATTTGGGAGTGTGCTGTGTTGAAACATAGTCATGAAGCCCTATCATTAACAATATTGTAAATCACAGTGCCTAACATTTAAAAGTAATAGTTGGGTTCAGGAGCATCAACAGAAAAATCTCTCCCTGCCACATTAGATAAATTAGTTTGTGCCCTACATATTATAACAATAGAAATTGGTTGCAAAATAGAAAATGGTGGGAGAACAAAAACATTGCAGCACACATCAGATTCAGATGTTTACACCCCCAGACTCATCTGAAGTCAATACTTTGAAAGTAACTGGACTCCTGTATAATATGGAGAGCTCCAAAATTAGCAGTGCACACACACACACACACACACACACACACACACACACACACACACACAATCTCAGTAATGAATGACATTTCCGGAATGAAGGTAACAATCCAACAGCTGAAAGCCAGCACAAGAACTAATGATGATGGAGACATATCCAGTTAAAAACACAGAATAGTCTTTGCTTGGAGCGAGGTTCCCCAACTTGTTTGTCCCACTGCCCCTTTTCGGGGGAAAAAATTACTAGGCACCCCAGCCTCCATTCTACCTTCATTAAGCTAACAGAATCTACTCCACAATTACACATTAGGCTACTATCATGGACTTGATTTCAAGGTATTAAAACATTTGATCTGTGCTATTAGGAAGAACACATCATTTGACAAAAGGTATATCTTATTGTGATCAGATGTCTTAAGATATCATTGTGCTGATCTCCCACAAATAAGCATCTAAAGTCTTTTTAAAAAGTCAAAACAAATGTTATCAAGTTATCTTAGTAACAAGTAGCAGTGTAATATTACCCTTAGTCTGACAGTCAGTTATTTGATACAGATACTCATAAGTTTGATTTTGTTATGGGAAGTATACAACAAATTATTGTAACATTTGGTGGAGGCTGGAAGTCAGCAGAATTTGTAATTTGTGATCCCAAATAAAGCATGAAAATTAGATCTTTTTCCTTAAATTTTTTGTCAGATACCCATATCCCAAAAGGACAAAACTATCCTTAGCCTCTTTCGTGCTTCCTATTTTTTCCTTATGCTTGAAACCAAATTATTTTTAAATTTTAGGCACTGTTATTTACAATACTGTTAATGACAGGGTTTTATGACAGTGTTTCAATGCAGTACGCTCCGCCAGTCTGTGTGTGTGATCATGTGATCATGGTAATCTCAGTTCGGTGAACCAGTTGCCTCTGAGAGCAATTTTTTTGTTGTTTTTGTTTTGGAGCCACACCTTACAGTGCTCAGGGCTTCCTCCTCACTCTGCACTCAGGGATCATTCTTGGCAAGCTGGGGGACTATATAGGATGCCAGAAATTGAACCCAGGTCAGCTGAATGCAGCGCAGATACCCTCCAGCTCTGTTTTCATTCTCTCCACCCCCTCCAGTGAGGCAAATCTTAAAATATTTTTATTTTAACTACTCCCTTTTAAACAGCTCATTTTTTAAAAAAGGAAATCGTTCTGTTTTGTCAATACGTATTTTTTTAGTTTGACGAAACCAGTAATACAGATAGATTTTTTTGTCCTATTCTAGTACCAGTTACTATTCTGTATTCTATTCTAGAATCCTGTTCTAATACTTTACCTGTCTCCTGTCACCCAGTTCTCAAGTGAATTACTGTCATTAAATGCTAAAAACTCCTCCAACATTTCCTTAAGCATATAAAGCAATTATAATTACAGATTTTTACCTTTTTCCAATTCTACATAAGAAATGTTCAAGGCTGGAAAGATAGTAGAGCTGGTAAGGTAGCTTGCCTTATACACAGCCGATCCCTGGCAACCATTCTAGTCCCCTGAGCACCACCAGGAGTAATCCTTGAACTTCATTGAAGCTAGGCGTAAAGCCTGAGCAGTGCCAGGTGTGGACCAAAAAACAAAGAAGGATAAATTTTGTTTATATTTGTCACTGCTTTTCTCACCTGTTCTCAGATTTTTTCAGCACATGGGAGTCCTCATTGTTTGGGTAACAGTGACATTTTAGTTCCTTACTGTTGCATTAGATTTAGTTTACTTCCCATTTGCTGAAGCCCCATTTTTACTCCTCATTCTTTGCTTTGTCTATCCTGGATACTTGTCTCTCAGAAGTGTAGTGCTACCCTTAATGTAAGAACTTGCCCTTTTCTGTATACATACATTTGAAGTTATAAAAAGGGGCATAGAGATGATAGAGAACCATTGAAGTTCCAAGCAGATGAATGGGGGAATGAAGGACACTGTTACCCCTTCACTATCTCTACCTGTAAATATTTCACATGCTTGTATTATCTAAAACTCTACTTCATTTTTTCACATACTCTGTAGCACTGCACTGCACTGTCCTCCCGTTGTTGATCGATTTGCTTGAGCAGGCCCAGTAACGTCTCCATTGTGAGACTTGTTCTTACTGTGTTTGGCATATTGGATATGTCACGGGTAGCTTGCCAGGCTTTGCTGAGCGAGCGAAATACTCTCAGTAGCTTGCCGGACTCTCCTAGACTTTTAAATTTACCTTTAGTATATCTATGCTCTGTATACCAGGTAATTTATTATTTATTAATTTTACTAAGTATTAGCTCTGTTTTATAGATGAAGCACAGGTTTGGAGGGATAAATCACTTATTAGAGGGTTAAAAAGTTAACCAGATTGAGTACATGTTTTGCATGTGGGATATCCAGGTTTAGACCCAGGATGGATACCAAATCAGTGGATTTTAAGTAGGCAGTTATATACTACGCTTGCTGTCTTACTAACTTACTAAATGTATTTCCATTTCATTAACGATAATTATTGTCTGTTGATTTAATAATTTTTTTCCCACAAAGTGATTGATTTTAATTGTTGCTTCGTTAAACTTAAGTATAACCTAGAAAATTTATATTGGTTCATTTCTTTTTTCTTTTTAGTTTCTTCACTAAGTCTATAGCAATTAATTTCAATCTGTGCAATAATTTTATAGTGTTAATATATTTTAACCATTATTAGAGAACTCTTGATATTATGTTGCCTTATAAAAATAAATCAGTAATAAATACAGTGAAAATTTGAATGCTCTATGCTGTATACCTAAATATTATATTCATTTAAGTATTTGTGTTTTAACATAATAACAGCAGAGTAACAAACTTTACTTTGGGTATGCTCTGTACAAAGGTGGCGTTTCTAATATTTATGTACACAAAATGTTCCTTTTATTAATGAAAAGACCTGAAAGCTACAGGATAATTATTAGTTTTAAAAGTTACTCACTTTATAACTTAAAAGTAATTATTAGCAGAAAGTACTAAAAAATAAAGTCCCACTTTAAAATTGTCATTTACACAATTTGGACTATATATATATATCACCATTATTTCGGAAGATTTATTTAAAACATTTTATGCAAAATATTTCAATTATTTTTTCTTCTTGTTGCAGGAGCTAGAGTTAATGCCAAAGACAACAAATGGTTGACACCTTTACACAGAGCAGTTGCATCTTGTAGTGAGGTATGAAATTTCTGAGTATGTATATTGTGCAAGAAACATCAGGGGGCTGGAGAGGTAGTACAGGGGTTAATGAGGTGCTTGTCTTGCATATAGCCAACTCCGATTTGATCCCTGGCACCACACAGTTCCCTGAGCTTCACTGGGTGCTGCCCTGGATTCTCCTTGAGCACTGCATCTTCAGAATGAATTCTGGACTGGCTGGCGGAGGCTTGCCAGGAGTCATTATCCGTGGCCTTCTGAACAGTGCTTGGGAGGACCTTTTTCATCCTACCCCACAGAAAGCCCAAAATATTGAGCAGGCCTCCTTATGAATTTATTTTCAATTTTGTGCTTTCAAAAGGTGGAAAATCTAATTAATGATACCTAGTCTGGTTATTTCATTTTAAAATGTTGTAAATGACGCATATGCTGCCCAAGCTCATGTGCTGCTTGCACACACATGGCGGCTGAGTGTGTCGCCTGCATGTCCCCTCTTGAGATGTGTAGTTTCACGCTTTCGTGTCTAATGCTGGTATGTGTGTGGAGGCTTTCCCCGCCCTTGGAGAAGCCTGCGGTCTCTCGAGTACGTTTCTCTCTTTCTCGCTTACTCTCTCCCCCTCCACACCTTAAAAATCCCTCCAAATAAAACCTATTTATTTCTGGAGCTCGAACAATAGGACAGTGGGTAGGGCATTTGCCTTACGCGTGTCCGACCCGGGTTAAATTCTCAGTATCCCATATGGTCCTCTGAGCATCGCAAGGGGTGATTCCTGAATTCAGAATCAGGAGTAACCCCTGTGCATTGCCAGGTGTGACCCAAAAAGCAAAAAAAAAAAAAAAAAAAACCCTATTTATTTCTAATAAAGAAAATGGTTTGTCTTTCCTTTTGTGACTGATACATCTTGAAGTCCTTGAAGTCTGAAGTAGCAGAGAGTAAAAAAATCCTTCTTTCTATGAAAGAGGTAATTTTTTTGTATTATACAGTTCACCTGGGGCTTTTCTTTACTCCTTCTCATAGGCTAATAGATGTATGCACAGTTCTGCTGATTGTGATCAAGAAAAACTTTATGGACTAGGGAGGTAGTTCATGTTTGATCCCTGGTACCACATCCTCTCCACTCTACCAGCACTGCTAGATGTTGCCCCAGTGACCTCAGCATCACTTGGCCAAACACTGAACCATCAAGCCCACACTGCTAGGTATCTGGGAGTGGTACCAGACAGCCCGGCAAGCTACCAAGAGTATCTCGCCCGCACGGCAAAGCCTGGCAAGCTACCCATAACGTATTCAATATGCCAAACACAGTAACAACCAGTCTCACGATGGAGACATGACTGGGCCCGCTCGAGCAGATCGATGAACAACGGGAGGACCATGACCGTGACCCAGGCCCTTGAGCAGTGATAGAAGAATAAAAATAGATAACCTCAACAATGTATATTGATTAGTTAAAATATTGTTCATCTAATCAGTAGGATCTGTTCCAAAAATATTTTTTAAATGAAGACCAGAGAGATATTACGATGTGTAGGGCACATGCCTTGCATATGCCTGATCAGGGTTTAATTCCTGGCACCTCACGTGGTCCCCTGAGCATGAGACGTATGCCCTAAGCACTGCCAGGTGTGGAGTTCCTCACTCTCCAGATTACTTGATCTAATTTTATCAGTTTTAAGTACATGACTTTTTAAATGTTAAGCATATGGTGACGAAGAACAACTTAAATAACCCTAACGATATTTGTTTTTAATGTTAATGGCCATTTTTCTGTTCTTCATTTTTACTGGTCTTTATGATATTCCTTATACAGTAGATAATTTCAAGAAATTGTTTAATTATCAATTTGCTCAGAAATCACTCAGTGTTGAGGAGCAAGGATAGAAAAACCTGGACCCTCTTTTTTTCCCCTGTCGTTTCACTGCCTTTCTAAAATGTATTGTATACTTTTTAAATTGTGTCCAAGAAATTCCTTTTACCTATCCTATGACAGTTGATGCTTATTGGGAAAAAAATGAATATTTTTTTTATCGCTCCAGGGCTGGAGTGATAGCACAGCGGTAGGGCATTTGCCTTGCACGCAGCCAACATGGCCGACCCGAGTTCGATTCCTCCGCCCCTCTCAGAGAGCCCGGCAAGCTACCGAGAGTATCTCGCCCGCACAGCAGAGCCTGGCAAGCTCCCCGTGACGTATTCGATATGCCAAACACAGTAACAACAAAGTCTCCAATGGAGACGTTACTGGGCCCACTCGAGCAAATCGATGAACAACAGGAGGGCCTTTACTTTACTTTTTTATCATTTTATAAATTGTTGGTCTGGTATGTCTTTGGTTAAGTTGTTACTAAGACTGGAAAGTAAGCTAAGCTGCTGCTACTTTTCATCTTGTTACTAGATAATTCTGAAGAAGAAAAGGGACCTTTACTGTGTGCCTCTGAAGAATGTTTTTCAGGAGAAACTAGGACTAGGCTTTTGCTTCAATTCAGTTCTTATTCTTTATTGATGGCAATAAAGAATAAAAAGATTAATTGATACGAACCTAGGACAAGAGCTAGAGAATGAAGAGAAATAAAGGGGAAAATGACTGGGAAGAATTACAGACCCTAAGGCAGTTTGTTAACTAGAGGCTGCTAGTTGGGAGAAAGGGGGAAACAGTGGGTATTCTCTTCCTCTTAATTCATATCTCCATGAATTGTAGAATCTGGATTTGGAAAAAATTAACTTCATATATAACTAATATTTTTATTACTGTGTGATCTTAGACAAATCTGGGGATTGTCATGAGATCTTAGCTATATTAGCCAAATTTTTTGAATTCTGAAATGCTATAGTAATCTCGGAGAGCCCGGCAAGCTACTGAGAGTATCTCGCCCACACGGCAAAGCCTGGCAAGCTACCCATGACATATTCAACATGCCAAACACAGTAACAACAAGTCTCAAAAAAATGAAGACATTACTGGGCCCACTCGAGCATCGATGCACAACGGGAGAACAGTGCTACAGTACTATAATTTCAGTGCTACAAATTAAAAATAAAAGTAATCAAAGTAGCCTGAAAGATAGTGCAGTAGGCAGAACACATGCTTTGAATGCAGGAGGCCTAGGTTCAATATCCAGGACCACATATTCCCCACGTACAGCCAGAAGTGACCCCAGCCAGAGCCGGAAATAGCTCCTAAACAGGTGTGGCCCTTAATTTTGCCAAATTAAGTCTTCAGAAAGTATACTTTGTATATTACAATTACAAATTCTTCAGATAATTTAGAGGAAGATTGCAGGTTTCATTAGTAAAACCTTACAACCCTAAGACAAAAATGAAGAATGGAGACAATGTGCTTTCTGAACTTTTAAGCTATCTATATTGGGCTTCAGCGATAGCACAGCAGGTAGTGAGATTGCCTTTCATGCAGTCAACATGGCTGGCCCGAGTGCAATTCCTCCGCCCCTCTCGGAGAGCCCGGCAAGCTACTTAGAGTATCTCGCCCGCACAGCAAAGCCTGGCAAGCTATCCACGACGTATTCAATATGCCAAACACAGTAACAAGTCTCACAATGGAGACATTACTGGGCCTGCTCGAGCAAATCAGTGAACAACGGGAAGACAGTGACAGTGACTGCAAAGCTGTAGTAATCAAAGCAGTATGATATTGGACTAAAAATAATGCAGATCAGTGGAATAGAATTGAGAATCAAAAATCCTCACATGGGGCTGGAGCAGTAGCACAGCAGGTAGGGCGTTTATCTTGCACGCAGCTGACCTAGGTTCGATTCCCAGCATCCCATATGGTCCCCTGAGCACCGCCAGGAGTAATTTCTGAGTGCATGAACCAGGAGTAGCTCCTGTGCATTGCCGGGTGTGACCCAAAAAAAAAAGCACCAAAAAAAAAATCCTCACACATATAGACATTTAGTTTTGTTACTAAGTCTCTGAATAAATGGTGTTGGGCAAACTGCATAGTCATTACAAAATGTTGACATTTGCTCACTATCTCAAACCATGGACAAAAGCTAAGTCAAAATGAATTAGACTTGGATCATTCATCCAAAACTGCACAATACGGTAAAGAAAATAATCAAAGCGCTCATGATACTGTATTCCATGATGCGTGGAGGAATTTGACAGATAGCTAATACACAATATTTATATAAAGACTTCACAAAACTTGACAGGAAAGCAGGTAACCCTATTAAGGAGGTAGGTGGAATAACTTAAAAACATTTCATCAGAGAAGGCATATATATGGTTAGTAGGTAGGTGAAAAGTGCTCATCACATTATCAGGAAAATGCAAATCAAATGAACAATAGCATATCATTTGTTAGAAAAAAGTCGGAAGTATTGTTGGGGATGTGGGGAGAAAGGAAACCTCATATACTATTGGTGGGTTATGTAAGTTGGTTCCTTCTCTAGAGAAGTAGAATGTCTCAAAATAATAAAAATAGGTATTTAGTACATGAGTTAAAAATTCCATTCCTAGGTATCGAAAAGAACACAAAATTGGAAAGATAAATGCATAACTGTGTTTATTGCAATACTATTTACAGTAGTTAAAATATGGGAACAATCCAGGAGCCAACTGACAAATGAGTGGATAAAAAAGATATGCACTGTAGACACAATTAAGTGAATGCTATGAGACCACAGAAAAGATAAGATTTTGTCTTTCATAACAATATAGGTGGAAATAGGGTAGGAATGGGTTATAAGTGAAGTAAGTAGTTTTCCAGAAACCACCCAGTTGAATGAACACTTTCTGACATTCTGAATAATCTGACTCATTTGAAATAATAGAGAAGAAGAAAAAAAAACACAGAGAGTGTGGGACACATACACAAAACAGAGTCTCAGGACTCAAGCTGCAGATTTGAGGTTATCAGAGCAGGAAATAAGTTTGCCTTTTAGTCTAATAGTAAGCTACTTGAGTTAATACTCAAAAAGTAGGAATTGAACTCCCATCTGATCCAGAAATAGCACTTCTTGTCTTAGTATCTATCCCAGAAACAGAAAAACATTAATTTGAAAGGATATATGTACACCTGTGTTTATCGCTGCACTTAGTATAATATGAGTCATGGAAACAACCCAAATGCCCAGGTACAGATGAATGGATCAAGAGATTTTACTCTATATACAGAACAGAATACTAGGCTGCTCTAAAAAGACCAAACACTTGCACTTTGCAGCAATGTGGATAGGACTAGAGAATACCAGGCTGAATGAATTTTGTCAGAATGAACGGGACAGACACAGAATGATCTCTCATATGGGACTTAAAGATTCACAGAGAGGTATCAACGAAGATTCAATGATAATATAATGGGGGAGACTGACTCAGCTGAGTTGGGGAGGGTGATAAGAGGAGGGAAGGGGTCTGTGGAGATGAAAATGGGTACTCTGGTGATGGGTGTGATGTTGGAGTTATGTCCATGACAAACCATGATTTATTGTAAGCCAAAACAATTTTTTTTAATTTAAAATTTGAAAAAATATAAGTTCTGGGGCTGGAGTAATAGTGGAGTAGGAAGAGTGCTTGCTTTACATGTGGCACCCTGGTTTCAGTCCCTGGCACCACATTAGATCCCCCAAACCCCACCAGGAATGATCCCTGAACTTAGAGTCAGGATGTAAGACCTTGAACACCACTGGGTGTGACACACCCCCCCACCCAAACCAAAAAAGTAGTATGTTCTGGAGGCCAGGAGACATGTTTCCAACCAAGGTTAATCCTGAACATCACATAACTTCTTGAGGATTGCTGTGCATAGCCCTGGGTACCCCCAGCTCTGCCAGTGTTGCCTAGGTGGCCCTGGTGATCTTGGTAGGCTATGGCACCACAGGTCCCTGAAGTATCCTTGGCCATAGCATTGAACCACTAGGTGGGCTGATTACCACCAAGAGTGACTTGGGCCATTGAGTACTACTTGGTTGTGTCTCCTGTATCCCAAATACGAGTCTCTTGCATCTGAGAATCATTTTTCTTTTGAAAGAAAATATTTGTGAAGCAGTTGGGAAAACAAAGTGAAAAATGGTCCATGTCACCAATGTTCTTCCATATATTCTTATTCCATCTTGAGAGCAAATTATTCATTTTATGCTTTATTAAGTAGAACAGAAGATTATGTAAAAGAAAAAAAATTAAGGGTGTTTTTTTTTTAATATACATTGAGAGACATAAGTCCTACAGAAGATGATTGTTCTCGATTCTCCGAAGTATATATATCACTAACATCACTGCACAGGCACTTTTTTTTTTTTTGAAATTACACAGTTTTAATTTGGCGGTTTTGAAGGGAAGGAGGGGGAGAAAGTGAGAGAGAGTAGAGAGTAACCTACTCAAAAGGGAGCCTGGGCTTCTCCAAGGGTAGAGAGAGCCCCTACACATATCCCAGCATTAGACATGAAAACATGGACACATCTCAAGAGTGGAGATGTGGGCGACACATGTGCTCAGGCAGCAAATGCGCCTGCACCAGCATTTTTTAAAAGTTAATTCTTCACGTAGAGTAGATGCTGTAGGATTTAATTCCCTGGTATCAGACTTTTCAGTTTGTAACTTCCAGAATTAGACCTGTTTTCTTTGAGTTTTGATACAGTGTTTAGAGATTTGTTTAGTTTTCTCTAACGTTTTATATATCATCGTTTTTGTGATCTGCCATCTGTTAATTTGAGCCATATATGGTAGATAAGCTTGACTGTCATAACAAAATATTATAGACTGGGTGGCTTTAACAGCTTTAAATTCATTTTCTCAGTCTGGAGACTAGAAGTCTCAGATCAAGTTCTAGCCTGGTCACTTTCACAGGGCTATCTTTCTGGCTTGTGAACACACTGTCACCTTGTCTTTGCTCTTATATGATGGTGTAGGAAGAAAGTTCTTTTTTCATAATGATCACAGTCCTGTCAGAACACTGATATCTGATCTTGGTTTCCTTTAGTTACCTCCTCAAAAGCCTGTCTCCAAATACTGTTTAATTTGCTGTTATGACTTTAACGTATTACCAGAGGACACAATTAAGGTCACAACATTGAAACTTGGCTGACTTGCTTCTAGTCTCTACTGTGTTTATGACCTTCTTGAGGTTTCATCTTTTATACAATCACTTATCATAAACTGTTTTTATTCTTTTTTGGTTGAGGGTCATGCCCAGTTGTGCTCAGGGCTTACTCTGACTCTGAGCTCAGCAAGGATCACATCTAGCAGGGCTTTGGGGACAAAATGGGATACCAGAGATAGAACAATTGTTGACTGTACGCAAGTGCCCTATCTGTTATATTGTCTCTTCTGGCCCGAACTGGATTTATTCTTTTTTTTTTTTTCTAATTGCACATTCCTCAGATTTTCAGAAGGTTTACTGTATGCATTTAAATTCCAGAGCAGGGATAAAAGAAGCAAACCTATCCTACTCAGTATTGTGTTTTGCCCAGTTTATCAAGTGATAAGTTCTTTTTTTTCCCCCTAGTGTATCTATAATGTATCTGCTATTTATCTGCTATTTCCCTTTATAGTTGGTTTTTGTCTCAAGTTACAAAGTACTCTTATTGAGGATAAGGATGCTGAATCCTTTCAGTGTTTGTACCTTGTTCTCCATAATTTTGATTTAAAAATTTGTTGTATATCGTTCCCATATCCTTTATTGTAATTAAAGCATCCTAGGTTTGCTGTTTTGAGTTTTCCATAAATATATGTATTCATGCATTCTGCTTCTTAATCAAGAGATGGAAGAGTTCCATCACTCTGGTATGTTCCTTGTGTTCCTTTACAGTCACTGCCCCAGAAGCTACTGTTCTGATTTCTCTTGCCACAGAGTAATTTTACCTGTTAGGGAATCTGATATGGGGCCAGAGAGAGAGTGCAGTGGGATAGGCGCTGACCTTGCAGACAACTGACCAGGATTTAATCCCCGATCACATGGTGGTCCCCGGAGCATTGCCAGTAATGATCTTTGTATGCAGGGCCAGTTCTAAGCCCTGTGTGACCTAACCAAAACATAAATAAGTGGAATCTTATAGGACTGTAGAGATAGTAGATAGTATAGAGACTGCAGAAATTAAGGCATTTGCCTTTAGGTAACAGAATCTGGTTAGATCCCCAGCACTGCCAGGAGTGATCCCTGAGCACTGGAGGATGTTGCCTAAACCCATCCCATCCTTCAACGAGAGCAAGAGCGTGCACTACACTATATATTCTTATGTCTTAGTCTGTTATTCAGCATAACATTTTTGAGATTCATCCATTTTGTGTGCATTGAGTCATTTCTTTTTATGACTGATAATTTCATTGTATACTGTAGAGTTGAACATGTGTGTTTTTTGAATCGAATGAATTAAGTAAACTCTGAGTATCACCCTCCCCGCAACCTACTAAATACCAGCTCACTAAATAATTAGAGTGGAATTTTGGGGTTGCTGACTAAGCCTTCATCATCACATAGATTACTGGGCCTCTTCGAATCTTAGCCAGACTTATTAAATACTTTTGACTTTTTTCCATATTTCAGAGGGTTCTAGTTTTTCTTTCAAAGGTTTTATGGGCTTTGTGTGAATCATGAAGAACAATTTGTGTACAAATTTGCATATTTATAGTTTGCATGACCAATGCCTGACTTGCATTGTAATTTTTGCTTTACTTTTTAAAGTTTTCTTTGTGGATGCACAAGCATGTGTGTGTAGTGAGATTGTTTTATTTAGGAGATAGAAACAGAGTAGTGAGTTCTACCAAGAAAAGAATGCACACAAACTTGGCATGTGCAGGCAGACAGAATGGAGAGGCGGCTTGGCAGACATTAGGAGCAATAGACAGGAGGCATTTTATCTCAATAAAGAGAAAAAATGTTCTACTGGACCTGAATTAAACTACGTAAATGACATAACTAAGATTATCCTATTCTGATCCTCTTCGTTTTTGTATTTTGATTGCTACTCAAAGATTAAATTATCAGTGTAAGGTAGTAGCATTTTTCTAAGTTGAATTTTTATTATATTTCTCTGTGTTTGTTGATGGTATAGTAGATTCCTTAGGATCTTGCCAAATTCATCATGTGTTGATACTTTCCTTATGCTCTGGGGGATGAAAGTCCATTTGGACAGTAAACTTTGATTTCATTTGCTTTTTGTGAAGCAAGATAGTTTTTATTGAAATTTACTTAGACCATGAGGAGAGAAATAGAGGGGGTATGTGTTCAAGAGAGAACTCTGGCTTCTCCAGCGTTAAAAAGCCGTGGACAGTAAGCTCTTAAATTACCTTAATACCAGCTTTCCCTTTTCAGTACCAAAGAAAAGACTTTGTCTTCTTTGCTGCAATGAGTTTCAGCGTTGATTTTTTTTTAATTTTGTAAAATATAGCATTCATAATACTTTGGAAAATAGTTATGTTTTAAACTTTTCATATATTTAGTACCAAAGTGATTAATCTGCTCCTTAAGCATTTCATTTTGTCTATTCTGGTAGAGATTGTTAGATCTTTAATTATAGAGTAAAAGAAGGAAATGTTTTGTCTTGATGCATTTCACATAGCTCTGAGTAGTGTTTTTAGTTCAAAACATTTATTCTTAAGCAAATTCCTACTAAGTATAGCACGTTCTATCAGAACTGCTTTTATTTCCTTCACATGTATAAAATTTCTAGAACTGTTACTTCTTTGTCTTTCTTAACTTTTGTCTTCATGTATTTTAGGAGGCAGTTCAAGTACTTTTGAAGCATTCTGCAGATGTTAATGCTCGAGACAAAAACTGGCAAACCCCTTTACATATAGCTGCTGCTAATAAAGCTGTCAAGTGTGCTGAAGCTTTGGTACCTCTGCTGAGTAATGTAAACGTATCCGATCGAGCAGGGAGAACTGCTTTACATCATGCAGCTTTCAGTGGACATAGTGAGGTAAGTAAGTGGCAATCAGTTAGAGGATGATTCCGTCACCTTCCATTCTTCCATCCCTCCGCTAGTTATGAGCTTGCCTATTTCAGCCGTTCAGCAACCAGTGATATAAAGTGAACAAAAATCTCTATTTTGCTGATTTTTGCCCTTTGTAGACACTCAGACTTCTTTTTTAAGATAATTCGTGATACACCTTTCTCAAGTTTAGAAAGTCATTGAGCAGATAAAGCCTTTGTACCTGAGTTTCATAGTTAATCGAGAGGAGTCAAAGGAGAACAATGCTATCTGTAGTACTGGGGCTGGGTCTGCATCTGTGGGGGCACAACACAACAAGTGGGACAGATGTTCTGAAGCATAGAACAGTTTTATTGTTTGCCCAGACAGCAGAAGAAAAGATACTAAAAGATAGTAACAAAAGAAGGCAACTTTTGAAAACCGTTTTTTTTTTGGGGGGGGGGGGGGGAGGGTGTTTTTTTGTTTGTTTGTTTGTTTGTTTTCATTTTTTTTTCGGGGGAGGGTGACACCAGGCATTGCACAGGAGTTTCTCCTGGTTCATGCACTCAGGAATTACTCCTGGCGGTGGTTGGGGGACCATATGGGATGCTGGGAATTGAACCTGGGTGGGCCGCCTGCAAGGTAAATGCCCTACCCGCTGTGTTCCAGACCCCTGAAAACATTTTTTTAACAATCTATTATCAACATTCAGTCATACAAAGAATTCTATGTGTCCATTAAAACAATGTAAAAAAATTAAAATTCACTCTTATAATACAGTTGTAACACAAGATTTCTATTTTTATATTAAGTACTTTGATAGTAAAGAGTGGATTTTTGCATACATAAAAGGTTTAGGAAATAATGAAACATGGAAAAGCCTTTGAGGGAAATTTGTGTAGGTCCATTCTCCCCTCCCTACCCCCTACCCCCTTTTTTGGTTTTCTTTTGTTTTTAGTTGCAGACACAGAAATTCATATGGGTAAATTGACATTCCCTAGATTCCAAAGCTGAGAGCTAATGGCTAGAGTTGTTTCTGCTATTGTTCTTAATTTTGTAACATAAAGAATCCTTGCCTCCTGTGGTTGAAGTCATAAAATATGTTGCTTTTAAGTCTAGAATGCTCTTTCCAATGGGGAACCTATTGTGAGCATTATATTTGGTGGACTAGAAATATTATTCTTGGCACAATTTACGATTTAAGTAGACTATGCCGTGACCTTGAGGTTTAATTGTTCTGAATTCTGCATTTTTGTTTAAAATAAATTTAAGACATTTGCAGTTTGATAACAACTGTAAGAAAAGGAAAAAAAACTACCTTTAAATATTCTGTATTGAGGCCTTCCAAATTTATGCTTTGTTATTCATTAACTATTAGGACACAAAGTGGCATCTTTAAAAGATAGTGAACTTAAAAAAAAGAAAAAGAAAAAGAGTGAACTTGACAATAATACTGAACACTTTTTTTACTATTTTGTGATGTTACTTAAATTCACTATTTATCTCCTTCCTGTTCTACAAAAAAAAAAACTGGAGTAGTTTTCACAAGGGCTTTAATAAACGGTTCTACTTTTAAATTTTAATGAAAGCATGTTTTTATTCCAGATGGTCAAATTATTGTTGTCTAGAGGCGCCAATATTAATGCTTTTGACAAAAAAGATAGACGTGCTATCCATTGGGCAGCATATATGGGTATGTACTTTTGTTGTTTTTTGCATTTATATACTTAGTAAAAGTTACATAATTTAATCTGTGGATTTGGTATAACCTCTGTCTTTTAGAAAGTAAGAAGTTCCAGTTATCTAAGTTTGTTTCCCAAATGGAATCAGCCTGGTAGTATAGTGAAGTGTGGATTAGTATTGACATATCAGGAGTGCATCACGGTCACTGTCCTCCCGTTGTTCATGGATTTGCTCGAGCGGCCCATGTCTCCATTGTGAGACTCATTGTTACTGTGTTTGGCATATCAAATACATCACAAGGAGCTTGCCATGCTTTGCCCTGTGGGCGAGATACTCTCCGTAGCTTGCCGGGCTCTCCAAGAGGGGCGGAGAAATCGAACTCGGGTCGGCCATGTTGGCTGCGTGCAAGGCAAACGGCCTACACGCTGTGTTATCGTTCCAGCCCATCAGGAGTGCATAATAGCAATTTAAAATTAATTCTTATTTACCCTTTAAGAAAGGAACATTCTAGATGCAAGACTGCAATAAATAATTTAGGCTTGTCATTTGCTAAAAGCCCATTATTGTACCCATTGTTCAATTTTATGGTGATATTAAAATAGAAATTATGAAGATGCATTAGAAAGGTGCACTGTCAAGTACCAAAATAGGCATAGGCTTGTTTTATACTCCTACAGAAATTTTACTGAAAGAAACTGAGGCTGGTATGGACTGTTTTGCTGTAACATTATGTTTCTTGGGAAAAAAAAATCTTAAGTTTGGTCAAATTCCTCAAATTATATTCCTCAACTTCAAGTGAAGATCATGCTAGTGCTAACCACTCACAACCTAAGCAGCTTTATAACTGAGGTATTAACCAAAACCTTGGTGGATTTTAGAGATAACCCTGACAGCCAGGAAGTCAAGTTCATCTGCTTCAGAATGTTTTTAAAGACACCCTCCAAATTCCACAAGAAGAGTCAGATGTGGACTTGCACTGACTACAACCAAGCAGATGGAAGTAAATCTAAGCATAAAGGAAATAAAAGCTGACACAAATTTTCCGAGTCCTACAGTGCTGGGATCCTGTCTCTAGAAAGAAGCCATGGACAGAGGCATTTGTTACTCATTTCTTAAAATAGAACTGAAAGTATTCCTCTCTGCAACCATGGAGCTTAGGACGTTTTCTTCCTGCCCAAGGTTATAATTTGGCTTTAGCAATTTTGACTCCTGTAGCTTAGGAAAAATTACATATGAATGGAAATACCTTCTGTATAATACTGCTATCATTCCCTAATTTACCACTCAGTACCACTTATTAAACCTTTGGCTAGCCACCGTTTCTTAAAAAAAAGGTCATCTTATCTTATTTCCCTATATATTTTTTCTGTATCTCATTTAGAAATAAAAGATTTAAGGAATATTTGATGGAAAATTCATCTTTTCTTAAACTACTTTATAAAATAAATGTAAGAAAGCTAATTATATCAGTTCCTTGGTGATCTTTATAACTGATTCCAAAAAGTTCCAAGATCCAGGAAAGTAGAAGTTATACCAAATAATAGTCTAATTTTACTGTTTTGTCTTTGGTTTAAGGACCACACCTAGCGATAGCGGGCTTAGTCTTGGCTTTGCACTCAGGGATCACACCTGATGAGATTTGGGATGCTAGAGATTGAACCTTGGTCAGCTGCATGCAAGACAAACACTTTGCCACCTATACTATTGCTCTGGCCCCCAGGGTCTATATTGAATTGCAAGTCCGACCTTTAGTGTGGACATATAAATAATTGAGGTTGCCAGGTGCCCCTATTTTAGAAGACAAAAGCAGAATATTACTGAATATTTCTTTCATACTATAGATTTTTGCCCTTAATATGTCATGAATATTTTTCTTCTCTTAAATGAAGATAATACATTCAAAAGTCTCCACTAGAACTCTAAAGCCCACACTCTGGGGGGAAAAGGCAGCTCAGATAGAGAAGGGAGCACCAAATAAAAGGGTGTTGGGAGGATCCTCCCAGGATGTGAGATGCATGCTGAAAGTAGACTATAGACTGAACATGATTGCCACTCAATTCCTCTTTTGCAAACCACAGCACCCAAAAGGAGAGAGAGAACAAAAGGGAATGCCCTGCCACAGAGGCAGGGTGGGATGGGGGAATGGGGGGTGGGAGGGATACTGGGATCAGTGGTGGTGTAGAATGGGCACTGGTGGAGGGATGGGTACTTGATCATTGTATAACTGAAACCCAAACGCAAAAATTTGTAAGTCTGCAACTGTACCTCATGGTGTTTCACTAATAAAAATTTAAAAAATTAAAAATAAAAATAAATAAATCTCCTCCTTACACTTATATTCAGGAGGTCACACATTAAGCAAAGTGCATTCAGGCCTTTTACCTCTGAAGAGCAAGATTTGACTGAACAGCTGGGAGGATTTCCCATTGCCTTCGTTTGTTGTTTTGATATTATAATGTACTGGGATCACATACTTGGTTGCACTTTACTGGAGATCACACAATCATGATTGCAAAGACACCCCATGCCCCCAACTCCAGTGGGTAGTCCTGCTGCTGGAATCACACTCAATAGTAGTGTGGTGAGCTGCCAGAGATTGAACTCGCAGCAGATGGTTTACCATTAAACTGTATCTCAGGTTGTCCTTGTTTTTGTGTGATTGAAGGCAAGTGAATTTGTTGCCTCCAATTGAGCTCCAAGAATAGTTGAATATATATATATCTTTGGGCCTCGGGATTTTTTCTGATTCCCAAAGAGTCACTTTTCAAAACCATTTGTAAATATTAAAACATATTCTGTTTCTTTGCTGTCATTACCCATTTACATTTTAGGTGTTTCTTTGGGTGTTGAGGTGGTCACGTCTGGCAGTGCTCAGTGTATAGCTCAATCTCTTTGAGGGGATATAAAAATTACTTGAGCAGTTTATAACAAATATTTATTGGTTGCGTATATTATATACCACTGCTCTTCAGCCTATGGAGTATATTGATATGTATTTGATATATTTTGTAGATAGGTGTTCAAGAAATTAATACATTAAAGTAGCTTTAAAAAGTATCACAAGATCTCAATCTCTTGTGGTACTGTATTGTAAATGAAAATTGGATGGCAGGAAAAGGACACGTCATTAGTTGTCATTTACTTAGTAAATAGTATTTGTAGGTATATAGTACTTTTGTTTTACAGGACCTCTAGAAAAGAGAGATTGCTTAGTTGAGCAGGTAAGAAGGAAACTGGAATGGATCATCAAGATTAGTTGCAATAATAGGAAAAACATCAAACATAATACTGTATGCAAGGAAAAGATCACTTAAATAAAGGCACAGGAGTAGATCGAATTGTAGAATGAAGAGGACAGCACTGTATAGAATCTGATTAAAAACAATAAAGTGCTTCTCACACTTTCTAGATACACACTCTTCTTGGCTACCTTGTGTGTTTGGGTGGGCCTGCCACTCTCTCTGACTAATGAATTGAAGGCACTATTGCCTCTGTCCTCTAGCCTGATACGAGACTGCTGTCTGTTCTCCTCTTCTGACTTAGTAACTGGCCATGTTCAAAATCTTATCAGCTGTCTAAACCTGGTTCCTGGTTCCAAAAAGAGCAGAGCCCTTTTGCCAAACTAGCAAGTATTACTGAGAAATAAAATATTAATTGTTTAAGCCACTGAGATTGTGCAGTTGTTAATCACACCCTGCCCTTTCTGATTATATTTCTTAGCAAATTAAGTTGACTAAGATGATTTGATGGAGATAATGTGAAAGAGGTTTTTTAGCTACATGTTCTAAAGATATGCCATTTTAATTTTTTTACTTATTTTCTGGTTTGGGGATCACACCTGGCAGTGATCAAGGGGACCATGTAGTACAGGGAATCAGACTGTCATCTACTGCATGCAAAGCATGTGCTCTATCTGCCCCACGATAGATCATTTATAAAGGGCAAACTGAATTCACTCACTGGTGTCAATGTAGAAGATTCCACTAAGGCAGGGGGGAAAGTAAACTGGTATCTTACATTAGGCCTAAAAAAAATCCTTAGAACTTGAGAATTTATTAAAACAGCTGAAGACAACAAATAAGATTCAGGTAAAAGGATCATATAAATTACATGTGGTTATTAGATAAAGCAAGCAGTTATTTTATTTTCAATTATTTGTCTTAACCAACATTTATCAAAATAATTTTGATTTTTTTTTTTGTGATCCATCTTCTCTCTAGTTAGATGATTTGTTAATGATCTGTCATCATTTTCTGGTTAAATTATTATTCTGTTATTCTGTTAGATATTCAAGATTATATTGTGTATTTCCCATAGGCTTATTTATATTTTTCAAAAACATATTGTAGGTCATATGGAAGTAGTGAAATTACTTGTGACACACGGAGCTGAAGTGACGTGCAAGGATAAGAAGTTGTACACACCTCTTCATGCAGCAGCCTCCAGTGGAATGATCAACGTTGTCAAATATCTTCTAGATCTTGGAGTTGATGTAGGTATATAGCTTGTGCAGTACAAGAGTGAAATATTTTGTATGTTTGTGAATTGATTGTTGATAGCATTTATTTCATATTTCAATAATTTCATGTAATTTTTTATCTTTAAAGTTGACACATAGTCCTTTATATAATATGCACGGTGCACTTAAGCCTTATCTAAATAATTTAAGTATGTTAAGAGTTAAAATTCAGAATTGAATGATTGACAGTTTTTTTGTCTTTATCATATTCCAGGCCCTATAGCTCCTTTTCCGCTGTAGAGATCACCAACTAAGACATACATGGATTGTTTTTTTCTATGTGATTAGGTTATTATTAGTCTTATTTACCCAGTGAGTCTGTTACTCTCTTTAAATGATGGTGTACATAGCAGAAGTAGGTAGGGAAACTAGAGACTTTTGACCATCAAGTAAAAGTGTTAACCTGTGTTAATATATTGGGTTAGGAAAGGTTGTTGCTTTATCTTAATATATTTGATTCCTAAATTGAGATAGCTATGAATACCTGTTGCCTTCACAGACCATCCTTTTAAAACACATGTACGTAATTTACACCCACTCTTAGAATATTTACTCTTATTTTAGGTTCGGTCTGACAAACTCAGCTGGTTCTTCAAAACAGATTAAAAGCAGAAAATTAGAAGGAGAGAGGGTAAGGCTCTGCTAGAGGGAGGCAGTTTAGATCAGCTGCAAAAAAACAAACAAGAACAAGGTAGGTGATAGTCTGGTGGACTCAGAATACATGGCAGAACTGTAGAGCTGATATAAGGACCTAATATAAGGACTTAATGTAACTGTAGTCCTTAATATAAGGACTGTGTGAAGCACTTTGCCTAACACGAGAAAGAAGTTCTTGAAAGTGTGGCATCATGAGAAAAAGTTTCAAAACTCAAACATTTGTTAAGTAGGATTTTGTAGAGTACAAACAGATGAGTTTTGTTTCAACTCAATAGTTTTGATCTGTCTGAAAAGAGTATAATGCCTTAAAAGATCCCAGATCTAAAGGATAAAACCCTGATTTTGATCAGTGTTGAGACCTTTCCTATGCAACTTTTAGAATTTTATTGACTGGAAAATAACATTTGTAAAATCTGAGAATGGAGTATTCTTCAAAATAAGAGCTCATATTTAAAGTGGAACTGTGGTCTCCAGTTCGATTATTGGTTTCCTAGGATTCCCATAACAAATTGTTTTAAGCTAGCAAATTTGATCTCTCAAATTTCTGGAGTGGGAGAATTCATTCCATGTCTCCTAGATTTTGGTAATGGTATTTAGATTCGACTAAAGTGTTTTTAATTTCTACAATTTCTGTTACCAGTGATCTCACAACAGAAAGTCAAAGTTGGGAATAATTTTAAGGGGCCTAATGTCCATGCAAGACTACCAATTACAAATTTGGGGATTTCCACAGCCATTTTCATATTAGATGACTCACTGGGAAATCTTAAATGTCATAGAAAGCTGATGTGCTCACAATTAACATTTATGAAACAGCAAAGATACTCATTATAAAGAGTCAAAAGGAGAAATACATAGTGTGGAAGTGTAGGAACATACTGTGAACACAAAGAATAACTAAACATGTTTTCCTTTCCGTAAGTTTATGATTCTTTATTCTCGCTCATTAGCATGAGACAAACTGTACTGGGAATTGGCAACATAGAAAATTTCACTTCGGTTTTGTTTTCAGGGTTTTGGTTGGGATCCTTTACATAGATTAATTTCCTGTGTGGATCGTTTCAGTCTCTAAGACTGCTTCGGGGTATATAGTGACCCAAAGTCTCTATATTATACTCCATTGTTGGTTTATCAGGAATACTTAGTCCCCATGAACTATCAGCTGTGGATAATCCTGCCATGGGATTATCAACTCAAAACAATTATATTCCTAGAGCCGGAGAGATAGTACAGCGGATAGAGCACTTGACTTTCACGTGGCTGGCTTGTTTGATCCCCAGCACTGCATATGATCCCCTGAACCTTAACCAGGTGTTATCCCTGAACTCAGGGTTAGGAGTAATCTCTGAGCATCACTGGGTATGGCACCCAAATCAAAATAAATTTTGTTTTCATGATTTAAAAAAGTAAAATACTTATATTGCCATCAGGTATGCTGTAGATCCCAGGGTTGCGTAACTTTTTAAATTTTGTTTTAAAATAAATTTCTTACAACATATGCTTATTTTATTTATTAGTATACCTGAAGTTGTGTAAAAATATGTAGGGCAAAAAGAGGTCACAAGGAAAATGTAAGAACCCTACCAAAGATGACCTCCCAGACATTTGGATAAAGGACAATGCTTTATTACTTAGAAGTCACATAAACTTTAAAATAACCACCCATTTTATTTATTAGCTACAGAAAGAAATTAATATAAATTGTTCCCCATTTTTTAGTATACTCATTTTGATAAAATGTCAGCATCTAAGGCTAAAAAATAGTGCACATTGTATACAAAATTGAATTAAATGGAAAAGATTGTCATTTGTTTATTTTTAAAACCTGGTCACCATTTCAGTATTTACTTTAATCTTTGTCACTGCAAAGTGAGTAGGCTTAAAATGTGCACATTATTGAGACTTAAAATGTGTATATTATTGAATATATCTCAGATTTTCCAATTTAAGGTAATTTTTTATCATTTACATAATTAGGAAATTGCCACTGCAGAGAATATGCTTTTAAATATATGTTAGTTTTGTTTTTCTGTAAGATCTTTCTTGGAACCAGTTGTTTTTGTTGTGAAATAGTCATTATACATTGAATTTTATTTACTGAATGTTCAGAGTTCATTTGAAACCAAAATGCTTGTTATTATTATTTTAAAAGTCCTTTAGAGTTATACACTTTATTTTTATATCTTCATCTGGGGCTTCTGTTTGCCTTTTGGTTTGGGGACTACTCCTCGGTGTGCTCAAGGCTTGCTCCTGCCTGAGTGCTCAGATATCACTCCTGGCTGGCTCTGGGACCATATGCGGTCTGGGGATTGAGACCCAGTCATCTATGTGAAAGGCAAGCGCCCTACCTTATGTACTATAGCTCTGGCCCTCTCTGTCTCTTTTTCACTTCAATTATTTTATTGCAACCATACATAGCTAAAATAGTTGACAGCAATGATATTAGCAACACTACTTTAAGATTATGGGTTTTTTTTTCTTCCAATAGATGAACGAACCAAATGCCTATGGAAATACACCTCTTCATGTAGCCTGCTACAATGGACAGGATGTTGTAGTGAACGAACTTATAGACTGTGGTGCTAATGTAAATCAGAAGAATGAGAAAGGATTTACTCCTTTGCACTTTGCCGCTGCATCAACACATGGAGCCTTGTGTTTAGAACTTCTAGTTGGTCGTGGGGCTGATGTTAATATGAAGGTATGAAATAAAATCAGAATGCATACTTTTCAGTATTTCTTCATTTAGCTTACTTCTTCAGTTTCTGCAATACCATTCAGCAATAAAAGGGAACAAAGTGCTGATCAAAGCAAAAACACTGATGAATTATAAAATATGCTGAGTGAAGACCACATGCAAATATGTATTTCCATTCATACAAAGTTTTACAGTATAGTCACTGCCTCTGAAAGGAGGGATTGATATAAAAGGGACGCGAAACTTAATCTGGATGTGGTAACATTCTGTATTTTTACATGCTCATGTTACATAATTAAACATTTGTCAAAACTTATGGAGCAGTGCATTTAAGATTTGTGCACGTCGTTACATGTAAAGTTTCCCTTACATGGCCTAATAGCCACAGTTTATGTTAATGCATGCTAGTGTTTAAAGGTAATCTGTGGTTTATCTGCTGCTGACTTTGGAAAGCCACAAATAATTGATTTGATGAAGAACTATGTGATAGAACATGCTGGTGGTAGAATCTAGGTGTAGTAATATAGAATCTCATTGAAAATTATTTCAATTTTTCTTTTTTGATTGTTTTCACAATATTAGAAAGTCTAAGAGACAAATACCAATGCCTTACTGGTGAGGAGTCATTTTCTTATTGCGACCTTTCTTTTTTCTTTTCTTTTCTTTTTTTTTAAGTTTTTGGGTCACACTATGTGGCCATGTAGTCTTCAATGCTTCCTCCAGGCTGTGTGCTCAAGGTGCCATTTGGAGTGCTGGAGATCGGACCTAGGTCAGGTGCATGCAGCACCCACTATACTAATCTTCTCTAGCCCAGTCATCATTTTGAGGAGCTTTTTAGTATAGACAAATGGAAAAAATTTTGTCGAAGTAAATGTACTAGGCTGGAGTGATAGGGTGTCTGCCTTGCATGCAACCGACCTAGGTTCGATTCCCAGCATCCCATATGGTCCCCCAAGCAGCACCAGGAGTAATTCTGAGTGCAAAGCCAGGAATAACCCCTGCGCATCGTCAGGTGGGACCCAACACACTATGGTTCTGCAAAAAAGGACATGTAACCAAAGATTTTGAACATCAGTACTTTATCGTGTACAATCATTTTTTCCAAGATGATTTAACCAATTGCTTCTGTATTAGTTCATCACTTCACTTTTTGACCACATCTCCAGACTATATCTTAGGAAGGAAAAAAAAGTATACAGAAAAATTGAATCATTTAGGATTAGTAAAAATGTTAGATTGAAATGTGGTTTTTAAAATTTGATTTAAAAGAGATTTCATTGCTTTTATAATGTGGTGATTGTCTTCCAAACTGGTAGTGTGAATTTTTTTTTCTTACTTCTTTGTGGAAACCTCTAAGGTTGCCTTTTATTTGCTAACCTTCATTTTTTTTTTTAAATCATTATCAACTCCTTCTTACCCTATATTTTCCTTCTATCCCTTTATCTTCTTGGATGTTTCTTAAGTTGTAGATGACTGGTAAGTGAGTTTAGGTTTATAATAATTTGGTTTATAACTTTTCTCATTGCTTGTCCTATAAAATACAATAGGGCCTGGAGAGATAGGACAGGGCTTAAGGCACTTGGATTGCATACCCTGGTTCTGTTCCTGGCACCACATGTGGTCCCTTGAGTATTACAGGGTATGCCTCAAAAACCCAAATAGGTAATATGTGCCAGGGATATGTATCATGGTAAATCATGTGACTCGCATGTGTGAGGCTGAGTACAGTCCCTGGTACTTGATGACTTCCTGAACACTTGTTTTGGCCCTGTGGCAGTTGCACTGCCAGGCTTGCATATGGCCCTCAGGTACTGTGTTGCCAGGTCTCTGCATCTCCAGGAGTGATCCCTGTTAAAAAAAATGTTTAATATATGTGTGGTTTTTATAACCTTGCTTAATAAACAAGCCTTGCAACATTGAATTTATTGCATATACACATTTTTCACATCCCATCCTCTTTTATTTTTGCTTTTTGTGGTGCGGGGTATTAAACCCATAGTTAGTCTCACAATATAAGGCATTTGCTCTACCATTAAACTACATTGCTAAACCAATAGTAAATTTTGGTCAGATAAAATAGCACCAAAGACTTATTTGTCTGACTATTTTGTTGCTGCTGTACTAGCTCTTAGAATTTGGGGGTGGGGGGGATTTGTTTTTAACTTTCAACTTGATTCCAAATGACTGAAAGTAACTAAAAGAAAAAATGAGTCTGGAGCAATAGTCCAGCAGACAGGGCATTTGCCTTGCACATGGCCTAACTGGGTTCAAACCCGGCTTCCCATCTGGATACGGATCCGCTTAGTACAGAGCCAGAAGTAACCCCTGAGCATTACTGGGTGTGACCCAAAAAGAAAAATATATTAAAAAGAAAACCCCAGTTGAGAAAGAGAGTTGTGGTTCTCCCAGCACATCTAAAGTCTAGATGTCTTTTGTGTATCTGAAATCAACTTTGAATGATCAGAGTTTAGAAAATAGAAGTGTTGATTCGTACAGACAAGGACTCTACCACATATTATTATATTTAGTTTCAGGGTTGGTAAGTATAGGGTGGAGATTAAGTACATGCCTAACATGTGAAGTTTTTCAAAACAACCTGAAGCAGTGCTACAATATGTAAATTGTTAGCTATAATGAGTTTTTAATTGTTTTTGTTCATTTGGTTACTGTTGTCTGGGGGGGGGCATGGATAATAGTCAATTAATAGTTAATATGTAATTAAGAATTGCTGTCTTGGGGAGCTGAGGAGATGGTTCAGAGTGCTGGAGCAGTGCCTTGCATTGTGACCTCTGGATATGACCCAGAGCACCACATGGTCCTCTAGACACTGCAGCAAGCCAGGAGTAGCTCCTGAATTTGCTCAGTATGGCTCAAGGAGCACCAAAAATATAAAATTGATACATTAGGGTCAGGGATGTTGCTCAAACACAAAGTGCATGTCTTGCATACAGGAGACCTAGGTTCTATCCGTGGCACCATAAAATAAAATAATAATAATAAAAGCCTAAATTTAGGGCTGGAGAGATAGAACAGAGTCACATACATGTGACTGACCTCAGTTCAAACTCTGGCACTGCATATTGTCACATGAGCCCTGCCAGGAGTGACCCCTGAGCACAGAGTCAGGAACAGATCTTGAACACTGCTGGGTGTGACCCCAAGCACCACCACCACCACCCCCAACCACTAGCACTGTAGCACTGTCCTCCCGTTCACCAGTTTGCTCGAGCAGATACAGTAATGTCTCCATTGTGAGACCTGTTGTTACTGTTTTTGGCATATAGAATACACCACGTGGAGCTTGCCAGGCTCTGCCATGCGGGCAGGATACTCTTGGTAGCTTGCCGGGCTCTCCAAGAGGGACAGAGGAATCAAACCTGGGTCGGCCGCATGCAAGGCAAATCCCATACCCGCTGTGCTATCGCTCCAGCCCCATCCTCAACCATTAAATAAGTAAAATATTAGTATGTATTATAAAAAGTAGTTTGAATGACACTAGAAACTGACATTGCTCTGGTAAGTGATCGAAGAGCTTGTTTGCTTGAAACTTCTTATGTAGAATTAAATATTTAGCTCTTTATGAAGTTGATCTCATAAGAAATTCTCAAAGACATCCATACAATACAGGTTCAGTATAAACTTATGATATCTTTCACATTTCAATTCTGATTACATTTTTAAAATTTTAATGCTATTGAGTGTTGAGTCACACTCAGTGATGCTCAGGGCTCTACACTCAGGAATCATTCTTGGCAGTGCTCTGAGGACCAATACGCTGGACTGGGGATAGAACCTAGGTCTTCCTTACACAGGGCAAATATCCTACCTTCTGTACTGTCACTCTAGTCCCCAAGAGAGTTTTAGTCACTAACTCATTACTTCATATTTGGAGGTAGGTCCTTTAAAATTTTAGATTTTCTACATTAAATACATTAATGATCGTTTTATTCTGGTTATTTTAAGGGATCTAGGAAAATTGCTAACATTTAATACAAATTAAAAATGCTATTCAAATGAACTATATGTCAAATTAATAATTACCCCCCCCACCACCACCACCATATTTACTTGGTCACGGAGGGATGCAGCATTTCTTAGAGAACAAGTGGAAAAACAATATGAAATTTTGAAATGGGAAACACATGTACATTCTGGTGTCATTCCAGATTATGTGACCTACACTGAATCATATCATTGTGCTTTGATTTCCCTACTGGTGAAATAGAAGTGGTAGATTAGAGTGTACCTCCCATGTAAAATGCTCTATAAACTACAGTTTAAAATATTTTTGCTTTATGATACTCATGCTAAAGTGTTTCTTTTTTTAAATTCATGTCAGGCCTATAAGCTTTATTTTTTTTTAATTTTAATTTTATTTATTTGCTTTTGGGTCATAACCGGCAATACACAGAGGTTACTCCTGGCTCTGCACTTAGGAATTACTCCTGGTGGTGCTCAGGGGACCATATAGGATGCCAGGAATCAAACCCGGGTCAGCCTCATGCAAGGCAAAGGCCTTACCCGCTGTGCTATCGCTCCAGCCCCTTCATGCTAAAGTTTATTTGAAGTTTTCTATAGCTATTGCTTAAAATAGACTTCTGTTTAAGTTAGTGCTTGACTTGTAGTTATAGTTACAGTGTGTGAGAGGATATTAAAAATAAAATTAAGGATTTTTGGTATAACAATTTTAAATCTTTTTATTTCAGAGCAAAGATGGTAAAACCCCACTGCATATGACTGCCCTCCATGGTAGATTCTCCAGATCACAAACCATTATCCAGAGTGGTAAAAAGTATTTCTGTTTGTTTTTTTTCTTAAATGTAGTGAAATATTTTTTTTTATTTTTTAATCCACAAAATGGAATGATATCAAGGAATTCATGCAATCTGTATATTTGTGTATCAGATCTCATAAAAATCCAATAATATGCCATGTATGGTATTTTTATTACTAAAATATAAATGTAGAATTTTCACTTCTCCTCAGTCTTAATTTATTATGGTTAATTTTGTTTTTTTAATGTATTGCTAAGATGAAAATTGCATTATATATTAACTCCTGAATTGATGTCTCCCCTTTTTTAATATTTGTGGCAGTTTTTAGGATTTAAATTTTCTTCTAAACTTGAGGGGTTATTTAGTCTCTTGAAAAGAAAAATAGTACGAGGTGAGCTAAACTTTTAAACAGTAATTTTTAAATGCGTTACTTGAAAGCAGTGTATCTCAAGCCGTGTTCCAAGGAACTGTTGGAGAGTGTGTTCTCAAAATAAGTGTTCTGCAGTGACATAGTAGGCATGGGTGCACAATTAAGAGAATCAGTGAAGCTTTGCATTCTTCCTAAGATGCAGAGTGTGCATAATAAAACTCTGAAAAGCTGGGACTGAGAACAAAGCTCGGGGTCATAGGTATATAGTTCAGTTCCTGGTACCATGTATCCTCCTGAGTACTAATGAATGTAATCTGGCAGTGTCCCAGAGCACCGCTTGACTAAGGACTGAACTCAAGTTTTTCTCTAGGAAAAGTACTTGTGGGACTCAGAAGATGCTCTGTGGCTTAAAGTACTTCCCTGACAGGCTAAAGGCCCCCAAGGCAATCCTGACTGCCCAGGATCTAGGGTCCCCAAGTAAGAGAAGGAAAACAATGTGTTTGTTTTAGTACAGTGGTTTTCAAACTTGTTGAAACCCAAAAATCCTTTGTCATTTTTAAACCTATTAAAATCTTATGCTCGATTCACTGTAATGTTTTAAATGTCCTATGTAATCCAAGCACATGACTCAGTAAATTGTGCAGTGAATAAAATCTACACTGTTATATCCATAAATTTGTGCTAGAATAGTGTTTTATGTTACTTCCTTGTATAGGTTTACTTGCTCTTACTTAAGTTCAGTGTCTTAATAATGTATCCTTGTTGCAGGAGCTGCAATAGACTGTGAGGATAAGAATGGAAACACTCCTTTACACATAGCTGCACGGTATGGCCATGAGCTGCTAATCAACACTCTTATTACAAGTGGTGCTGACACTGCAAAGTAAGTACTTACTGTTGTGTTTATAGCCGTGACAGGAAGCACAAGAGAAAGGAACTTGCTATTTTCTTGATATTTCTAGTACAGATGTAGATTTTACCTTAGGATTACACTGAATGCTTCAATAGTTATATTTTGTAGCCATTTCTATATTATAATTAAGCACTTTTGAGCAGAGCTTTGAATTTTTGCAATCTTAATTATTTTTCACCAAAAAAATAAATTTATTATGTTAAGTACTTATTTTTATCTGAATACTACCTGTAGAGAGTGGTTTTTTCCCCTATGTAGCTGCTGAAAAGGATCCCCTTCCTTACTTTGGGCACAAGAGGGTGTTTTGGTTTATTTTTTGGTTGGTTGTTTTGGGGGCCACACCTAGCAATGTTCACAATGTTTGCGCTCGGGGATCATTCCTGGCAGGGCTCAGGAGACTGTTTGGGCGCTGGGAATAGAACCTGGATTGACCACATATCAAGGCAAGCACCTTATTCATTGTAGTATCTAGCCAGCCCCAGAACTCAGGTTTTAAAATCTATTTTACTTACAAATGACATCCTACTATACTTATAATTCTTAAATGGAATTTTATTTGTTTATTTATTTATTTTGCTTTTTGGATCAAACCTGGCAATGCACAGGAGTTACTCCTGGCTCTGCACTCAGGAATTACTCCTGGCAGTGCAGGGGACAATATGGGATGCTGGGAATTGAACCTGGGTCGGCCACATGCAAGGCAAATGCCCTACCTGCTGTGCTATCACTCCAGCCCCATTACGTGGAACTTTTAATTTGGCTGTTTGATGGGGACACTCCTGGCTCTGGACTCAGGGATCACTCCTAAAGGGACTTTGTGGCCTTATAGGTTGCCAGGGATCAAACCAGGTTGGCTGTTTGCAAGGCAATCACCTTACCCACTGTATTAGCCGTCCCCATATTTGGTTGTTTCTTGTTTTACTTTTATCTATAAATTTATTTTCTGTAGAGTGGTCACAGTTTATTCATTGGGGCATGTGTTGGGCCATACCCAGCTTTGCTCTGACCTAGGGATAACTCCTGGTAGGACTTGAAACCATCGCAGTGCAGAGCATCAAACTGGGTCAGTTGCATGCAAGGAAAACACCTTACCCACTCTGCTGCCTTTCTGAATTCTCATTTATTATCACTACACACAGGTTGCTTTACTTTTTTTTTTCTGTTCTAAAAATAATTACATTTTCTTCACCACTTGTCTCATTAAATTATTAGTGGTGGGGATTTTCTTTCTAGTCCAATGTCCAGGAACATTTTGGTTGATACATAATTTGAGAAATGTGGTGCCGGCCTGAATAGATAATATGTTCCACATAGCTGCATACGTGAACTCATCTTCTGCCCCCAGCAAATGCCTTACTGACTGAGAGTAGTGCCGTGGTAGAAGAACCCTACTCATACAGAGAATTTTCTGGACAATAAGTTTATACCCACTTTCAACCTTTGGACAAATTGCTGTACATTGTGTTAAAGATTTTTCTATAATTATCTTTTTGCTTTCAGTTGGTTTCTTTATAATGTATTGAAATGATTGTATTTTTCTTGTGTTGTGATAAAGATTCTGTCCTGTTTAATTTAGGCGTGGCATACATGGAATGTTCCCCCTCCATTTGGCAGCCTTAAGCGGTTTTTCAGATTGCTGCAGGAAACTCCTTTCTTCTGGTAAAAACAATTTTGACAGACTTTTTTTTAAATGAGATATAATTGACAAAATACTAGTCTCAGGTATATAGTGTATTTGATACTTGAATTGATCCATGTAAAATTCTGGACATTCACTAAAGTGTGTAACTACCACTATAAAATTTAGCAGTATTTTTTATAAGCACACCTCCTTTTTTTGGGAGCTTCCTTTTCCTTGGATACTTTTTTGTTGTTGTTGTTATTGTTGTTTGTTTTGGAGCCACACCTGGTGGTGCTTCTGAACTCCTTCAGGCTCTGTGCTGGGGTTTGCTCTCAGTGGTGATGTTCAGAAATGTAGTATTTGGGAGATATGGGGATTGAACCTGCACCTCCATTATGGAAAGCATGTGTTTATCCCATTGAACTATCTCAACTATCGATACTCCTTTTTTTTTTTACAGCATGATCTTTAATTGCCACAAAGATTACACTGCCTACAGTGAAAGCTCAGATAATGAATACAGTTTTCCTTTAGATAATAAAGTGTTATTTAGTCTTTATTTCCACGTAGACTAGGGAGGAATTAAGCCCAGTGTCTTTTATTTTTGGTTCCTTTTTGGGTTACACCCGCTGATACACAGGAGTTACTCTTGGCTCTGCACTCAGGAGTTACTCCTGGCATGGTGCTCAGGGAACCATATGAGATGCTGGGAATAGAACCCGAGTCGGCCGTGTGCAAGGCAAACACCCTACCCACTATACTATCACTCCAGCCCCAAGCCCAGTGTCTTACATATGCAAGGCATTCACTCTTCACTGAGCCACATCCTCAGCTTAATAGAGTATTTATTTTAGATTTTATATTGTTTAATACTCAGATCCTCACAAGTAGGCAGAATACACTTTTACCGTTATGTCCCTGCCTCTCCAATAAAGAATCTTTAAACTAACTTATGTACATATTTATTTTATGACTTTTGATACTTTTGTTTTTCTTCCCCTTTTTTGGAGGGGGTGGGGTGGGGGTAATAGACCAGTATACTATCAAGCTACTCTGTGTAATACCAGAGATCAGACCTGTGACCTCTTATGTGCAAGGCAGGTGCTTTATAGCTGAATCACATCCCCAGCCCCAATATGACTTTTTCCTTTTTAATTTTTCTTATAGAACACTGTGGTTTATAGTAGTATTGGGCATACAATATTACACCCACTGCAGTATCATCATCCTCCCACCATTGTCTCAAGGTTCTCTCCCACCCTAATAACATTTTTATATACCATGGAAAATAAAAAATTGTGTGACACTATGGTCATAATTTATTGTGATGGTCTAGAACTGAATCTGCAGTATCTTTGAGATATGCCTGTGATTTCTTCTTATTGCCGAATAATCATTTTACCACCCCTGTTTAAATAAGACTGGCATTTATTTGTCTTTCTAAAAACTGGTCCTGTAGTGGCTGTTACCTTTAATAACTTTGTACCTATATGGAGTTCATTGTTTCATTGTAAGAGGTGTAATTCTTAATAAAATATCTATAATGTTAAATACACATATTTTATAGTGCATAAAAGATGTGTTACTTCTTGTAGGCTTTGATATAGATACCCCAGATGATTTTGGCCGGACCTGTCTGCATGCAGCAGCAGCTGGAGGGTAGGTTAACAGTATTTTTGCTTCTTTAGGAAAAAAGTAATTGGTAGTCCCTTACTACTTTCAGGTGTGCCCCCAAAACTTAAACACCAAAAAAAAAAAAGTGTTTTGTGGCAGTTTTGCTTTTGTCTTTCTTCCTCAGTATTAATTCTAGGATTCTGCAAAATAGGAAATGATGTGTAACATCATGTGTAACATTTGGCAGAAGAAAGTCTACAGTAGTAAAAATTGCTATTTTACCTTCTGCCTAATGCGTAAGTTGACACTATGACGATAGTTGGAAATCATCACTCTAGACAAGAATTGAGTGCTGAGAGGATAAAAGAATGTACATGATAATCTATCAGTATCTAATGCCCAGAAAGGGACAGTGTTTGGGGGAGGGGGAGAAAGAGAGGAGAGGAGAATGCCATGGAGGTGGTGGCAGGTGGGAAATTAAGGACATTGGTGGTGATAATATACACTGGTGAAGGGATAGGTATTGGTGTATCTATCCTATGAATGAAACCCAGTCATGAATAACTTTGTAACTGTGTGTCTCACAGTGATGCAATAAAAAGTAAATAAAAGCATCAAGTATCTAGGAATCAGCAAAAGATGTGGGTGATATGAAACCTTTAAATCACTTAAAGAGTTAGAAGAAGGCCTTAGAAAATAGAAAAATACTCCATTCTAATGGATTGGATTTAAGGAATCAATATTGTTAAATTGACTATCCTGCCTAAACTATTATATAGTTTCAACACAATCCCCAACCAAACTGAGACGATCTTCTTTAAAGACCTAGAAAATTCAATACCAAAACCCTGAAAAGCCAGAGCCATGCTGAAAAATAAGAAACTGAGAGACATCTTTTAACAACAAAAAAAGGCTGCTGAAAAATAAAATAAACTAATAAATTAAAGAAAGTATTGCTTGCAAAGAGAAATCATTCCTGGATAAATAAATATATTTTCAAATGAAAACATCAAAACATGGAAATGAACTAAATACCTGCTATTCTGGGTCTGGGTTTTTTTAAATCTTTATTTTAGGAGCTACCAGTCACGTATTCGATATGCCAAACACAGTAACAACAAGTCTCAAAATGGAGACGTTACTGGGCCTGTTCAAGCAAATCAATGAACAATGGGAGGACAGTGTTTGTTTGTATTTTAGGAGAAAATGTTTATGGTCTGTTACGTCTTTTGGGGTCAGAGGGTATTTGGGCCACACCTGGCAGTGCTCAGAGCTTATTCTTTACTCTGTGCTCAGGGATCATACTTGAATGGGCGTGGGGGACTGTATGAGGTACCAGGGTATGAATCCAGATGCAAGACAAGGATCCTAGCCACTGTCCTATTACTCCTGCCCCAAATGTCTTGCCTTCACTGAGGATTGATACATGGGAAGGGGAAATCTGAAGACAAAGATTTTAAATACAGTTCTGGGGGAAGGGGGGGGGGGGGCGGAATATGTGTGTTTGTGCCACACCCAGCTGTGCTCAGGGCTTTCTCCAGACTGCACTCAGGCAGGGCTTGGGACCATGCCTATGTGATGCCGGGGATGGATTAGCCATATTCAGGGCAAGCTTTCTGACCTTAGCGGTTGACTTCGAACAAACAACCAAGTTCAGCTGAAATCTTGGTCTCTGTAGCACACTGCTGGTTTAATGTTTCTCTTAACTTAGATCCTAAATATGAGGAGCTATTTAATTTAGTTTTGTTTGGGGCCACACTCATCCATGCTCAATATTTACTCCTGGCTCAGTGTTCAGGGATCATTCATGGCTGAACTTAAGGGATCATCTCTGGGGCTGGAGATGGAACCTGAGTCAGCCCATTGCACTTTTCATCTAACTTTATTTTCTCCGGATAGGAACTTGGAGTGCCTAAACCTTCTGCTGAATACTGGTGCTGCAGATTTCAATAAAAAGGACAAATTTGGAAGGTAGGATGTGATATAACTCTTCTCTAGAACTTTAATGTTACTATTAGTGACTTACTTGACTTTCTGACTGGCTTATGATAATTAACTCAACAATTATCATATGTGGTAAACATTATTTATGCTGGGTCTGGAGCGATAGCACAGTGGGTAGGGCATTTGCCTTGCACCTGGCCGACCCGTGTTTGATTCCTCCACTCCTCTCAGAGAGCCTGGCAAGCTACTGAGAGTGTCTCGCCCATACAGCAGAGCCTGGCAAACTACCTGTGACATATTCGATATACCAAACACAGTGACAACAAGTCTCACAAGGGAGACGTTACTGGGCCCGCTTGAGCAAATCGATGAACAACAGGAGGACAGTGCTACAGTGCTATTGTTTATGCTGAACTGACACAGCATGACATCTTGAGAGGTCAAATGAAGTTTTGTGTATCCTTACCCAGTTTTCTATGACCTGGATCCTTTGCCTTAAACTCAGACCAGTTACAACTTTACCTTATGGGTACCATTGTAACTCCTCATAACACTCTTTCTTCTACAATAACTTATAGTCATGTAATATAAAACCCTGTTGTGCTTAGGTTCCTTCAAGAAACTAACAGCACCTAGAACTTTGCCCAAATTTGGTTAAGATCCCTGGTTGGAAGAAGGAAATTGGTTAGTAATAGACACACACACACCCACACGAGCACGCATGTGCGCGCGCCTGTTATATATATGTTACAATATTTAAACCAGTTATTAGCATGTTGAGTACATTTCCTATTATGATTTGCAGATGACTGTGAAATGGTAGAATCTCTTTTTAGTCAGTTACTCAGCCCTTTTCAAATTTCATTCTCACTGTTGAGCATCAGCGCTCATTGTTATTAGCCACTAACTGGAGTAGCAGTACTTAAAGCTACTATCATTTATTGTTACTTCAATTAAGGATTGAACCAAGGTGTATTTGAATCATACTGAAAAGAATTAAAAGTAGTTTGGATTGATTTGAAAAGTAGAGTTGGCAGTAAGTAGATTTATCTATCAAGAATTTGTACATTGTATATCAAAGAGTCTAACAGAAAAGGGTATGTGTGTCTGAAATAAGTGATTGAGTCTCTGAGTCAAAAAACTGCCATTTGATCCTGTAATTATTTTAAGAAATAGACTGCTAATAAGCCTACTAGTGAGAATAAATGACAGGCAAAATCTAAACTCACTTTGGTTCTGGAATGTAATATTTTTATAGCTAATTTGTTTTTATAATTAAATTTTCTTCAAGTTATATTAGTTTCTGTAACTTGAAGCATTCTCTACTAGAAATAGCAAGCAAGATCTTTTGAGGTAAATTCTGACTTTGGAAGCATGAACATAATTCAGGGTTAATTGCTTTTTTAAAAATATCCTTTAAAAAAAGAAAGAAATATCCTTATACATTTATCCTATAAAATAAAATACTTTGGTGTTAAAAACATTTTCTTGGAAAAAGTTACATCTTGACTAGACCAAGTTTGTTTTCTGTATTTACTTGAGAAATCTGATTTGCAGGTATGCCATGTAATTACTATAACTAAGCATTATTTTTAATGCTTCTATTTTTCTCTTACCTTTTATTCCTCTACTGAGACATGAACAGAATCTTCTGTCTCTATAATTGGAACGTTTTTTATTAGTATATGGAAACCTTTGTTAAAATGAAAATGTTCAACTTTCTGAACAGACTATGAATGGTGTCTTTCTCTTAAGATTGGAATTGTTATGGCTGGGATATCTGAAAGAATTTAACTATGTTCCTATTCTTAGAGGAACAAGGAGGTTCTCTACCTCCTTATTTCATCCTCCTAGATTTCTCTCCAGCCCTCCAAAGACTTAGTATGTGGTAGAAATCCATCTCACACTCACAATAAATACAGTATTTGTAGTTGCAATAGAGTTACAACTGTGTTCTTACTGGTAATGTTTCTGGCTCTGTTTTTCTTATTTTAACTTGGGCATAAAGATCTCCACTGCACTATGCTGCTGCCAACTGCAATTACCAGTGCCTGTTTGCTCTTGTGGGATCAGGAGCAAGTGTTAATGACCTTGATGAAAGAGGCTGCACACCCCTGCACTATGCAGCTACGTCAGACACAGATGGCAAGTAAGTATCATGTGGTATAAATGAAGGAGTACTGTTTCTCTAAACCAGCATTTTCCATAGGGATGACACTGCAAATTTATATTCTTTTGTTGCCTGGGGCCACCCCTGGTTGTGCTCAGGGGCTGCTCTCAAGTCTCTCAGTTCTCTTCTGGGGGTGTTTGAAGGGCCACGCAATGCCAAGGAACAAACCCAGGTTCTTAATTGCATATCATACACTCCAGCGCATTAAACAGATTATCTTCTCGGCCCTCTCTTCGTATTGTTCATCATCTTTCCTTGAGTCTCTATGTGTTAGAAATAAGTTTGCTTATTTCTAAGCTATGGTTATTATTTCCACTCAGCAACTTGCCCTTATTGGTTTGTACTGGTGAAAGGATAGTCCCTTATCATTGTTCTCTCAACCAAAAGCATATATTACCATCTTTTTTTTTTTAGTCTAAATTCCTTTTGTAGAGATAGGAAACATGGGTAGTGTCATCTCAAAATTGGTCAGACTAGAATATTAGTATCTTTCATAGGATGGGAGTTCAGTTTGCAAGGGATCCAGCTAAATTAATACCCATGAAGGGAGTGAATGAACTGGCAGAGTTGGTACTAAATACTGTAGTTTTAAACAAGGATATTAGATTAGAAGAAAATTAAATGAGAACAAAGGAATGAGAGATACATAAATTTTTTCCTAAGTAGTATTTCCTGATGCAAGTAAACACCATTTATTATAGTGCACCTTAGCATATATTACCCTTTTGAAAGATAATAATAAAGGAGGATGTTCATTATCTCTAATATTTTCCCCATATCTGCATTAGTGGTGAGTAAAATATGTTTTATCTTGGGGATTTTTTTGTTTATTTTGGGGTGGCACCCAGTGATGCTCAGGGCGTACTCTTGGCTCTGCACTCAGGAATTAACTCCTGACAGTGCTTAAGAGACTATAAGGGATGCTGGGGATCAAACCTAGTTGGCCGTATGCAAGACAAATGCCTTACCCACTGTACTATCATCCCCTGAATAAAATATCTTAAGGAAAAACTTGGGGGGAATTTTGTAAAATACACTTCAAGGAAGTTGTATTAAACAGAACTATTTCTCTGGATTTTAATAATTGATTTTACTTACAGAATAAAAGGCATTATTTGAGTATTATTCATGGATATTTATTACAAATTCTGTACTATCAATATAATATATAACATAACATTTTGCTATGTTGATTTGTGGTTGAAATTTGGATTTTTAATGGCACTAGAAAATGTGTTTTCTCTTTGTATGAATATTACACTTTATGCAATTTCATATGTTAATAGTATAGTTAGATAAGTAATTTTAGACAAAGTCACATTCTTAAAGTATGTTTTTGGAGAGCAGATATTAAAAGAAAATTTGTAGGTCAGAATTTGATAAACTTAAGTAGATTATCCTGTAATTCATAAACTAGCTTCTTAATTTGATTTGGAGATCCTCCTAAATTATTCCTGCGTTTACTATTATCATACATAATTCTTTGACACTCTGTCCACAGGCTGGTTGTTGTATGTAGTAGAAACTTTTGAGCAACTAATGATACTCATTATTATTAACATTAATTTTAATACTACATTAGCAACCTCATGATTAGAAAGAGTATGAGCTTTAGAATCCAAAAGATTACTCTCCTCCCCCTCTTCCCCCCATGGAATGTATGCAGTGAAGCTTGGGGGCTGCTCCCGACTCAGCGCTCAGGAGTCACTTTGACTGGTACTTAGGGAGCCAGGTACTGGCTATCAGTTACTGCTCAACCAATAGTACAGAGGGTTCTTCGGCACTTGCCTTGCACACAGCCAACCAAGTTTGATATAATCCACCAAGCCCTACCAACATGATCCATGAGCATAGACCTAGAAGAAAGTCCTGAGCACTGCCAGGTGTGCCCTCCAAAAATAAAAAGGTTCCCACATGCAAAGCTGCCCCTTTCGACCATATCTTCTGTACCAGTAGACCCACTTTAAATGGGTTCCTTATATATTTTTGAGTTTAAGCAAGTAATAGCTAAGCAGAAATTTATTGTAAAATGAGAATAAAACCTACTACTTAGAATTGTGAAGGCCAAATAAGATCAGGTACATAGGGGCTGGAGCGATAGTACAACAGGTTGGGCACTTGCCTTACATTCAGCTAGCTACCCAGATTCAATCCCTGGCATCCCATATGATCTTCCTGAATCCTCTGGGAATGATCCTCAGAGCACGGAGCCAAAAATAAGCCCTGAGCATTGCCAGGTGTGGTCCGGAAACAAACAAAAAAGGATCAGGTATATAAAAGAAGTTCTAGGAAAGGAAGGTTTCGTGGAGGCAGCGCTTCTTTAATGCCAGAGCTCCTCTTTAAGGCTGCTAGTTTGTGACTCAAATGCTTCAGAGTCATCGGGAACATTCCAGGTGCTCTTATGCCACAGTAACCACTTCACAGTGCCAGAGGGATCCTTCCAGTGAGCACTTTGGAAACTTAATTAGTAGCCTGAGAGTGTTTATTTTTCTAAATTCCAAAAATTTATTTCAGTGACTAGATTAAGTTATACAAGAGTCTGACAGAATTAACCATACTTCTGCCAAATCAAGTGTGCGATGTTTCTAAAAGAAGAGCACGGGCTGGAGTAATAGCATAGTTAATAGGGCATTTGCCTTGCATATGGGTACTTAACTAATAAAAACAAGACCTATATTGTATTGTCTATTGACATAGTCTCTTGATTTTACATAGCTTATTTCAGGGAAAAGATTATAGAGAATTATTTCTTAATTTTCTCATTTCTATAAAATGACTGTGTTGATTTATAATCAAGAAATTAATACTCTCCCCTTCAGCTGATGATGTTTTAATTTGCGAATAAACTCAAGTCTAAATTTTCCAGATCAAGTAATTTTATGATGCAGTATTTTATAAGCACCCAGGTTAAGGTGTCCTTTATTCATTAACCTTTGTACCTAAGCATTTGATTTCATGGAAAGAGCACTAGATATAGAAAAGAACTGAGGTCTCATCCTTACTTTGCCATCATGTTTTTAGCCAGTGCGTATGAAGAACAGGGCAGGAGAGTACATACAACTCAACAGGTGGAGTACATATTTTGCGTACTGGAGGCCTGGGTTTGAAAAACATAATGTCTCCCAAACACCACCAGGAGCAAATTAGTTAGGAAAATACATATTGCTCTAGAAAATCTGAAAAAATCCCAGAAGTAGAAGAGGTTTTACCAATCTGTGTCAACTCTTAGTTTCTGTTTTGTTACAGAAACACTAATCATCTACTAATATGAATGTTAAAGGGGAAAAAAATACAATTTGAATAGAACTTTGAAATGACATCAAACCACATAAGTCTATATATAGAATTATATTCCCTAAATAATGCTTTGAGGCATGCTCTTCAAGAAAGTAACCATGAGCATACCTACTTAATTTGCTTTCCTTAAATAAATCTTTTACAGTTCTCAGGTATTAGTAGTTGCTTAAAATAGTTTATTCCCGTGATAAGACATGTCATGTGTTAGGTCTCAGTAAAGAGAACTACTTTTGTTTTATTAATAACATCTTTAGAATGTGGTTAAAGTTTAAAGGGTGCCCTTGGTGAAATGCTTGTTCCCCTAAAACATCTGTTTTCCAGCCTTGTGCAGGTCTTGTTCATTGAACAATGATCCCTGAGCTGGGCACCTCCAAAAGCTATGAACAGTTTACCTGCTTCCTAAAACTTCCTTTCCTGAAGTGCCTTCATCTCAGAGACTTGTTTATAAATGTTAAAAATTACCAGTCTTGTTTCTTTAGCATCAGTTTTGTGATTGTATGTGTCTTTTAGCTGGACCACACCCAGTGGTGTTCAGGGACTTTTCCTGGTTTAATGCTTGGGGTCACTCCCTGTGGTGCTCAGGGTCATGTGGTTCTGGGGATCAAGTCCACACTGCATGCAAAGCATTGAGTTTACTGAGTTGAGGTATTACCTTGGTCCTGTAACCTTTTTTTTTGAGCTTCCTGATGAGACACTGCATCCATAATGTACTCTTGATGGGTTAGCAGCAATACCCAACAAGGATGCTCACCAAGAATTTAATTCCATCAAACATTTAAAGGGATTGAGTGGGGACTGGAGCAATAGCACAGCGGGGAGGGTGTTTGCCTTTCACGCCGCTGACCCGGGTTCAATTTCCAGCATCCCATATGGTCTCCCAAGCACTGCCAGGAGTAATTCCATTGCTGGGTGTGACCCAAAAAGGAAAAGGGGGGAGGGAGATCGGGTGATAACTCAGTATGGAACCTGTAAGGACCAGCCATTGGGTATACTAAACTAGATGGTCTTGGGAGATAATGATTTTAAATGAAGATTCTATTGTGAATATTGATTAGTATTTTTATGGTATAGTTGAATTTTAATAATTTTATAGCAAAGAAGATGGCTCTTGCATGACTCAGACGTGAGAAAAATAATTTTTGAACTTAAGTTTGTTTTTATTATTGATGAAAATGCAGAATTTAAAATTTTTAATATGTTATGCATAGGTGCCTGGAATACTTACTAAGAAATGATGCAAATCCAGGGATTCGAGACAAGCAAGGATACAATGCAGTACATTATTCAGCTGCTTATGGTCACCGTCTATGTCTTCAGTTGGTAAGATACTTGTGTAAAAGTTAACCTGAGCTTATAGTCTAATAAAGCAATGAGTACATGAATTAAGAGACACTTGTTTTGATTATAACGCTTTCAGAATTTGTATACCTCTTAACATACTCATCTCAGATGTCTCTCATTTCTTTTTCCCTTCTTATGTCTTTCCTCATATCTATGTAGCATTTACTTTTCATGCCCCTTTAAGTAAATGTTTTCTGAAGCTTGTAAAGAAATACAGTCATGTCTTAGGTGAGAAGTGTCTTTTCCCACCCCTTCCCCTTCACCCCATATATTTAGGGAATTATGAAATGTCCATAAAATTTCTTCTGATAAGAGAACCACTGCTTTTGCAAAAGCCTTCATTCTTTTTTGGGCCAGACCCCTTGGGTTAGAAACTGTTCCTAACCATTCTCAGTGGGTCATTCCTGATTGTGCTTGGGGGCCGTGCGGTGCCAGAGATTATGCCCACATCTCCAGAGATTATGCCCAGGTCTCCATTGAACTCTTCTGTAGCTTGTGATCGCGTTGTTAAATATGTATACCATCCAACCCACTTTGCCCAACCAAAGACAAAATGGGTACATTAGAAGTTATGCAAATGTGTAACATTCTTCAATTAAAGAATTTTTTATAGAGACTTATTTATAAACCATATTAAATGTTATATCAAGAAGATATAAAATTCAGAGAGTCGTTTATTTGGACCTGAGAGATAGTTTAAGTGCTTGCCTTGTCTGCAGTTCAATCCCCAGCACCATTTATGGTGCCCTGAACTCAGCTAAGAGCCAAGAATAAGCTCTAAGCACTGCTGAGAGGTAGCCCAGTTCCCCAACTCCCCGCCTCTCCCCCCCAAAAGTGCTAAATTATCCTATTACAGAAGTAATAAATTATTTTAAGTCATGGTATTTTTATACTAAAATCTTAAGTCCTTGTATAGATATGATTTGTTACATTGTAGTTAGACAATGTGTATCTTTAGAGGGAAAGGAAGCATGCATTCAGAATAAAACCTTATGAAGGTAGGAACTTGTAAATAACATTTATCTCTGGAATATATATTAATAGTTCTAAATGTGTTTTATTTTCAGATTGCAAGTGAAACTCCTTTAGATGTTGTAAGTATAAGGTTATTTTCTTCCTTTCTTTTATTCAAAATAGTATGTTTTCTCTTATTAGAGCTGAGACATTTCATGCATGAGTACAGGGATAGTAGCCTAAATCGTGCATACTAGGGGGAAGCGGTTTCTTACCTAGCTATAATAAACAGCATTTTCCTCAAGCTCTTGATCTGTATCCCTCCCTCAGTCTGTGGTCCTTACTACACTGCTAGGATGGTCTTTCTAGAATTTTGTTTTCTACTAACATCTTAATTTAGTTTCTATATTACAATGTTCTAGGGTTTTAGAACTCATTCAAATATTAATTTATATTCTAAAATGGACTTAAACTTGGGGGAGTGGGGCAAAACTATAATCGTATATCCAAAAGGTTTTTTTCTGACATTTAAAGTGCTCCTTTTCGCCCTCAGTTAATGGAAACCTCAGGAACAGACATGTTGAATGATTCTGACAACAGGGCAACAATAAGTCCTTTGCACTTGGCTGTGAGTATTGCCTTAATAGCCAATTTATTTCCTGATTTATAAAAATACTCTTATCTGGGGAAGATGGGGGTGGGAGGGATGCTGGGAACATTGGTGGTGGAGAATGGGCACTGGTGGAAGGATGGGTACTCAATCATTGTATAACTGAAATACAAGCACAAAAAATTTGTAAGTCTACAACTGTACCTCATGGTGTTTCACTAACAAAAAAAAAAAACTCATATCTGTTTGTGTTAACTCAAATTAGTACTCAGACCTTTGTTCTATTTGATAATCATGAAATGATACCTAACCTTTTTAATTTCAGAATCTTGAGTATAAATTTTGTTTGACCTAAGTAAAAATATAGTGGTTTTGTGCTTTCCTTTCCCAGAGGCCTGCTTAAGGAGATACTCTATCTGTGGTGTATATTTTACAACGCTTTGTCGTCATGGGTTCATTTCTGACTTGCTAACTAATCAGAATAAGCACTATAATTATTGGTTGTTACTTTATGATCCTAGGACCTGACTAAATTGTGATCCCAGAAAACTGACTGGTCCTTCAGTTAGTTGCTTGTGCTGTAGGATTTAACTAGATGGATTTATGAATTATTCTTGAATATTATTCTCATAATTAGATTAATTCAGAGAAGATTAAGTGGCAATCCTTAGAAATAAATAAGGTAGAACCAGAGCGATAGTATAGCGGGTAGGGTATTTGCCTTGCACACGGCCAACCCAGGTTCCATCCCGGCATCCCATATGGTCCTCCAAGTACCCCTGAACAGCACCAGGTGTGACTGAAAAAGCCAGAAAAAGAAAGAAGGAATAAATTACTTTGGGAATTGGTGGAAGTTGAGGGAGCCGGGGTAGGGACACACTAGGCAGTGCTCAGGACATATTCCCAGCTATGCATTCAGGGTTCATTCCTGGTGAGCTCAGGGACCATATCAAATTCCAGGAATTGAACCTGGGCTGAACACATGCAAGGTAAACACCCTTGCCACTGTACTGTTGCTTAAGTCCCTACTTTTGGAATCTTTTCCCCTTTTTTTTTATTGGATCACCATGAGATACAGTTACAGAGTTGTTCGTGATTGTGTTTCAGTCATACAATTTTCCAACGCTCATTCCTTCATCAAGGGTACATTTCCCACCACCAATGTCCCCAGTTTTTCTCCCGCTACCCTCTGTAGCCTGCCTCTGACATTTTTCCTCTCTCTTTCTCTCTCTCTCTCCCTCTCTCTCCCTCCTCCTCTCTCCCCCTCTCTCTCCCTCTCTCCCTCTCTCCCTCTCACTCTCCCTCTTGTTTTCTCACTCTTGCATTCATCTCCTCTCTCTGTCCCATCACCCCCTCCTCTGGCATTGTGGATTGCTATGTAGGCCATCGTGTATATCGCTTTACCTCCTTTTACCACTCAGTTTTTGTCCAAAGTGATCATTTCCAACTATTGTTGTAGTGGTCTCTTCTCTGTCCTAACTGCTCTCCCCCTTCCCCTATGGCAAGCTCCCAACTTTCTGGCTCTTGTTTCTACTGTCTTTGGGTATTAATCTCATACTATGTTTTTTCATATCCTGCAAATGAGTACAATCACTATATGTTTGTCTCTCTTCCTCTGACTCGTCATCATGATACTCTCCATGTCCATTACTTTTGAAGTTTTTAAGTAGAGTTCAACTTAGTTCTTTCTGTGCTGAAAAATACTGTTTTTGAAAGAAAGCTTATTAAGATTGGGGGCAGAAGTTACGGCACAGACTTTGATAATAAGGGGATTTGGGTACTGTCATTAATCATTTGAGGTCTGATTTTTAAGCAGAGTGGAAAAAATTCTTAGGTTATTATTAAATGCTAACAATACTTATATTTAAGTTAATGTGGCTTGCTACAAGAGTAAGTCATGAGCACAGACAGATGTGACCCAAAATGAACAACCACCAACAAAAAACCCTTATTTTCAAAATACTAGTTCCCCCAACCTAAAGCCTATTTGATTATTAGAAAAAATTATACTTAAGTTTCTGAATTTTTGATATTTCTATATGAATTTTGTTTTGGATTATCTCAAATAGAACAATAAGAAGACAAGTTTGCTTTAAGTTTTCTAAAGTACCTAGGAATTTAGTCTATGTATTTTTAATTTATATGTTTTTTTTATGCCTAGGCCTATCATGGTCACCATCAAGCACTTGAAGTGTTAGTACAGTCTTTGCTAGATCTTGATGTCAGAAATAGTAGTGGAAGAACACCTTTAGATCTTGCAGCATTTAAGGGCCATATTGAGTGTGTTGATGTACTCATCAATCAGGGAGCCTCAATCTTGGTGAAAGATTACATTTTGAAGAGGACACCTATACATGCAGCAGGTATGTCAAATATATGCCTAGTTTTATTTATCACTTTCCATCTAATATCTTCTTAGGTTTCTTATATTTATTTTGCTGCTAGTAGTAGTTTTAATGATTAAACTTTTTAAAATATCAGACGGGAAACGTTCAGAATAAGAGAAGGAACACATGGAGGGTGCGGGATCCCGGAGGAAAAGAAAAAAGAAAAAACAGGTTCCAAAAAGAGCCGAGAGCACCGGCAAGTTCCAGATGGAGTAGGCGCCGCATCCCGCCTACCCCAGATGGAACCCTGGTGACCAGAAGCCTCTACAAACACAGCTCGAGTATGCGGGAACGAGGACTTTTTCTCAAATCTGCCAGACTACACCTCCCAGGTAACCTCTGATCCCGGAAGTCACGCCCACAGCCCGCCCCCCAGCGCCATCTTTGAAACGTTCAGAATAAGAGAAGGAACACATGGAGGGTGCGGGATCCCGGAGGAAAAGAAAAAAGAAAAAACAGGTTCCAAAAAGAGCCGAGAGCACCGGCAAGTTCCAGATGGAGTAGGCGCCGCATCCCGCCTCCCCCAGATGGAACCCTGGTGACCAGAAGCCTCTACAAACACAGCTCGAGTATGCGGGAACGAGGACTTTTTCTCAAAACCGCACGGCCGCTTATGCGGCCGCGCGACATCTCTCTATATACAAAGTGATCAATGAGAAGTAAACCACCCAATCTTTCTCCCTGAAAATCAGAGTTAAGTTTGGAGCATGGCCACAGCCCCAGAAACACAAGGACTTAATGCAGAAACCAGCAGCTTAGAGCAGAAAAGTGAACGGACGATGAGTTAACCCAGGCCATCATTTCTGCCCAGAGGGGAAAAGGGTGTTGCCCCATTCGCCCTCTCTTCTCTGGAAAGAAGGATGGCGGCCGCATGGGAGCCTTGTGGACAGCAGGTATGAGCCGGGGGTGTGGGGGCGACTAACACCTCATGGGAAGGGGGGCGTTCTGGTCCGTCCTTCACGCCCTACCGAGGTCACCAGTTGCCCCCAATGAGCGGCTCTCCAGCACGGCCACAGCCCCAGAAGCACAAGGGCTTAATGCAGAACCCAGCAGCTTGGAGCAGAAAAGTGAAAGGACTATGCGTTAATCCAGGCAATCATTTCTGCCCAGAGGGGAAAGGGTGTTGCTCCCTTCCGCCCTCCTCCCTCTGGAAAGAAAGATGGCAGCCACATGGGGGCCTTGTGGACAGCAGGTATGAGCCGGGGGTGTGGGGGCAACTAAAACCTCATGGGAAGGGGGGCGTTCTGGTCCGTCCTTCACGCCCTACCGAGGTCACCAGTTGCCCCCCACGAGCGGCTCTCCAGCACAGCCACGGCCCCAGAAGCACAAGGACTTAATGCAGAACCCAGCAGCTTGGAGCAGAAAAGTGAACGGACCATGCATTGATCCAGGCCATCAAGTCTGCCGGAGGGGAAAGGGTGTTGCCCCATTCGCCCTCTCCTCTCTGGAAAGAAAGATGGCGGCCACATGGGAGCCTTGTGGACAGCAGGTATGAGCCGGGAGTGTGGGGGCGACTAAAACCTCATGGGAAGGGGGGCGTTCTGGTCCGTCCTTCACGCCCTACCGAGGTCACCAGTTGCCCCCCACGAGCGGCTCTCCAGCACGGCCACAGCCCCAGAAGCACAAGGGCTTAATGCAGAACCCAGCAGCTTGGAGCAGAAAAGTGAACGGACTATGCATTGATCCAGGCCATCAAGTCTGCCGGAGGGGAAAGGGTGTTGCCCCATTCGCCCTCTCCTCTCTGGAAAGAAAGATGGCGGCCACATGGGAGCCTTGTGGACAGCAGGTATGAGCCGGGAGTGTGGGGGCGACTAAAACCTCATGGGAAGGGGGGCGTTTCGGTCCGCCCTTCACGCCCTACCGAGGCCACCGGTTGCCCCCCGCGAGCGGCTCTCCAGCACGGCCAGGACTCCAGAACACAGAAACCAATTTCTTAACTATCTGACTTTCAGTAGAAATACTTCCAGGGTCAATAGGTAAAAGAGCAGAAATCCAAAACCAACATTTAATTCTTGAACCCAGCCGTAGAAAGCAAATCACTTCACAATGCTTTTTCAGCATGTCTGATTTGGGGGGGGGGGGGGTAAACTCTAAATAATAGTGGTGAATCTTTTATTGAAACAATGAATCTAATCAAAGCAGATAGAGTGTTAACTAGAATTCATCTGCTTCACAGGGACGGGGAGGGGTGGGGGGTGGGGTTTTATTGGGGTTCTTCATGGTAAAAAATAAGTATTGGTAAAGGGAGATGTGTTTGATATTTGCATGACTGAGACATAAACCTGAAAGCTTTGTAACCTTTCCCACAGTGATTCAATAAATAAATTTAAAAAAAAAAAAAAAAAAAAAAAGATAAAATATCAGACGGTTCTACTTATGGAAAGCAAACAGCAAGAAGATAATTGCTTTCTAAGTCATTATCTTGAGACAGAGATGTAGTGAAGTAGCACTTGTGAAGCCCTAGATTCTATTCCCTCCACTACACACACACACACACACACACACACACACACACACAGATTTAGAAATTAAATTTATGTCAGTCTGATTTCTGAAATATTTCAGTGCAATATTTTTACTCCTTTCTGATGGAATTTATTTTGGTTGGTATGTCTTTGTATTTAAAAGGTGATAAGGTTTGGAACATACTGTATTGTCTGTTGTATGAAATAAATATTCAGGGCCAGAGAGATAGTGCAGCAGGTAGTGCATTTGTCTTAACACTTGGACAATGCTGGTTCAATCCCCGCCACCCTATATGGTTCCCCAAGCCTTCCAGGAGTGACCCCTGAACCAGTGGGTGTGGCCCAAAGACAGACACACACAATACATATATACACACACCTATATGTATGTGTTGAATATGTGTGTTTATGTGTGTATATGTATGTATGTATTGAATATATGTGTATATATGTATTATTGAATATGTATGTAACTATACATATGAGTGCTATGAATGGTTTGATAAGAAATAGTTTCTGTTTTATGTAAGGACTCCATAGTATAAATTTTGTGGTGTTTGGGAGTGTGGAAATACAAATCTATGAGTAGCCATTCTGTATTGTTAACAGTTGATAATACACAACTCTAGGGAACTACTGCAAGAAAGTATTCATTCTAAATAGCTAAACTTGAAGGAATTCTAACCAAGAATTTTTTTCATTGCCAGTAATAGACCGTGTTTTTATAATTAGATTTGGTGCATATTTTGCTTGAGGAATCCCACATTCATTTCCTGCACCACGTGATATACAGAGCACTGCTGCATTTCTCCTCTCCCTCACCTCCCAAAATAAACATTATAGATTAATTTCATTCTGTATGTTTTGTACAGAAGTCTTAAAGATACACTTGAAGAGATAATACAGTAGGTAAGGTGTAACATACATACACACCCACACTTGAGTATGGGTCTTAAACTTTGCTCCTAGTTGTTTAGGAAACTTGCATTTTTAAAGACTGTAAACATCCACTTGGTTCCAAAGTAACCTTTCAGAAGCTATCTATTAAAACAAGGATCAGAAACAAAAATTTTAATGCCAGGTTAGAATTCTTATCTATAAATTGCGATATGGAAATAATTAAAGATCAAAATGCTATGTTTTTTGTTTTATTTTGAGAATAAAGTGCTATATCATTCTATGACTTGATAAATATAAACATAGAACATTTGTAGCGAGTTACTTTAACACGTTCATGGAGTATTTGCATTATTTAATAGATTTATGTTGAACCAAGATACTAGCCAGCCTCTCAGAAGTGGCTGTACAGTCTGATGAAAGTGCTGGCTCTTAAGAAGTACAGAATATTTAGTTTTGCTTTGGTTTTTTGGTTTTTTTGGTAGGCAACTGAATTTATAGCTTTATAATATATGCATGATTGCATCTATAGAAGGCTTTTGGATTTGGAGATTGATTTGGGCACATCTTAATCTTAAGAAATATAAAGAACACAGGAAAATCTTGTAGTAGTGACCAGTCTATATTCTTGTAGTGATGTTATACTTGATGTTTTATTTAATGAACAGGGAAACTTGTATTTAATTATAGGGAAACTCATCAATAGTTGTCATGAACTGTGTAAAATGATGGGCCAGACTGAATTTATTTGAAGCCAGCCCAAGTATGTTTTCAAGTGACACTCTAATTCATTACCATGAGAACTGCTGACAAAATGCAGCAATTTTGATTCATAAGTCTAGTATTTAATATAGCTATTGGAAAGCACAGAATATTAGCAACTAGTTTTCACTGTTCTGAATCATAATTTGAAAGAATAGTGACAGATAATGCCTTTCTGCATCGTTACATAGCTTATAAATTTCTTGAAACTTTATTATTGATAGAATTTGAATTCTACCTAGCATTTATTTTAGAAAATTAACAGCTTTAGGCTGCTTCTATTTGTGCCATTACTCATAAATTCATTGCTTAGATCTTCTTTATTGTGATTATGTATATGTTGTGACTCACCTTCAAAGTCAGAAGAGTTGGGTCTTTTCATTCCAAACAAAAATTTTTCCATAAGCCTCCCTGGACTTTGAGCATTGTATAGTGAGAACTAGACCAAATGTGCACCTTGAAACCAATCACTGACTGAGGATGATGATAAACTGTTCTAAAATTACATCTAGAAAGTATGCTAGAATTGGACATTTTCTTGTTTTATTATAATTACTGAAAATTTTAAATGTCACTTTACAGCAACAAATGGTCATTCCGAATGCTTACGGCTACTTGTAGGAAATGCAGAACCACAGAATGCAGTAGATATTCAAGATGGAAATGGACAGTAAGTTCCCATAATTTTTAATTATTTTATGCTTCTGTTTCTATTTTATAAGTTGTTTGTCATAGTCTATAAAACAAAACAATATTATCAGGTACAGTTCTTTAAGCATATTTTAAAGGTGCATCATTAAAAGGCATGTTTCGAGACAAGCATTATTTATTTTTATTTTTTGGAGGAGGGGGCACGCCCAGCAATGCACAGGGGTTGCTCCTGGCTCTGCACCCAGGAATTACCCCGATGGTGCTTAGGGGACCATATGAGATGCTGGGAATCGAACCCGGGTTGGCTGCGTGCAAGACAAACGCCCTACCCGCTGTGCTATCACTCCAGCCCCTCATTGTTTAATTTTATTCTTGAAATAGAGGAATGGTATTGCTAAACCTCCTTCTATTGCTGCTCAGGACTCCTCTGATGCTGTCTGTCCTCAATGGGCACACAGACTGTGTCTACTCCCTGCTGAATAAAGGAGCAAATGTAGATGCCAAAGATAAATGGGGGAGAACAGCATTACATAGAGGGGTAAGTAAAAATAATCCCATTTCTTTGTTGTTCCTAAGCTGAACCAAAGTAGCTTTGTTTTCATTAAATTGTTGCCAAGTCTTTAACATTTCACTATCTTAGTTTTGTTTGCAATTACCCAGCACTATATAATCTAAAGAACACTAATGTTGGAATAGAACTTTAAAACCTCAAATAGAATTTATGTCAGGTTGACTTTTTAATTTATTTTTTTTTCATTCTTATAAATTTGTATACAATAATTCATTACATTTAATATTTGAACACCAATGCCACCACCATTGCAACTTCTTTCCACCACCATATTTTAAATGTTTGCATCTCAGATCTCAAACCAAGGCCCCTAGAGCAAAACCAAAATAATTAATTTTGTATAGAGGGAAATGTATGAAGTTTGTTGTATTGCCTTCTACTTCAAACCACAACAAATTTGGTGTGCTGCTCTTGGTATATCAATGCTGCGTGCTCCAGAAATTCTACAGCAGATTGACTCCTGGGTGAGACTCATCCGAGCCTGTGGAGAGCAGCATGAGCATGGCAGCAATTGAGTTCTGGAGATTTTTGACTGCCAGGGCTCTTTGGGGGCAGGAAGGGGAATTCACCCACCCTCCTCCGAGTTGCCCCCTGATGAGGCAACCTGGTGCGGGATCTGGAGGCATCTCTGCGGCGTGTCATTCTGTGTTGCTCTCTTCCAGGAGTCTGAGTCTGGCTTTTTAATTTAAATTCACTTTCCTTCCCTGTGTTACTGTTACTGTGGTGGCAGACACACTTGATTTTCGTACTCAGACATAAGCTTGCCAGTGTTCACATTTCTGGCTGGAAGTGCTCATATGTCTTTGAGTTGTAAAGTTTGCTGGTCAGTCACCCTTTCCGTTGTGCCGTGGCTGGAAATTGCTAGCAACATAGGAGATCTCAGGCAGCAGAGCTGCCAGAATCACAGTCAGTCTCACAGCTGCATTCATCACACCCTCATGCGTGCAAGGCTGGTGAGGTGGCACTTTAGCTGCTAAATCCTTACTCACCCTACACCTCCCCACCCTACCTGTTTTGTTTTGTTTGGGGGACAACTACACCCATCAGTGCAAAGGAATTAATCCTGTTTGGTGCTTGGGGCACTCCCGCTGGTGCTGGGAGAACATTGGAAGTGCCCGGGATTCAATCTGGATCTCCAGCAGGCAAAATATGTGCTTCTGACTGGCTTTTTCAGAACTATTTGTTTAAAATAATTGCATTTTTAAATCCCCAAAAATTGTTAGTAAAGTGGTATCATGTTGCATTTTTGTAAATCTAAGATTTATCTGAATAGAAGTGAGCTTAATACTTACCTACTCCAGCATTCAGTCTGTTAAAATACATAGATTTGATGGAGACAAAATTCAGCCTCACATGGATTAGTTGGAAAAAGAAACAATTTTTGTCTAAAAACACTGTGGTTTACAAAATCATTTATTATACAGTCATTTCAGGTTTTTACATTAAAGGTCTAGAAAGGTGTGTCAACAGACCTAGCACATGTTTTGCACGCAGAAGGCATGGACTCTATCTCCAGCACCACATGGTTTCCTCTGGGGATAGGCTCTCTTGCAAGCACTGAGCCAGGAGTAACCCCCAGAACTGCCAAGTATGACCATAAAAAAAATAGAATATATAAAATCCAATGTCAGTTAACTATAATTGGCCTGTATTGTTTCCTACATTATGTACTAAACTATTTGCAAATAATTTTTCTTTCAGGCAGTTACAGGCCATGAAGAATGTGTGGATGCATTACTTCAACATGGTGCTAAGTGCTTGTTTCGGGATAGCAGGGGTCGAACCCCCATTCACTTGTCAGCTGCTTGTGGACATATTGGTGTTCTTGGAGCTCTTTTGCAGTCAGCATCATCTATGGATGCAAATCCAGCCATAGCAGACAATCATGGATATACAGCACTTCACTGGGCTTGTTACAATGGTTAAGTATATATGTATATATAGACACAAATCTTTGTTACATGGTCATTATGTAACAAGCAGGAACATATAACTAATATGTCCTGACATTTATGTGTGATATGTTTAAGACATACTTTAAGATTCATGAAAATCCAAGGAGTCATCTACCATGGATTTAAGACTACTCTTGTCAGAGCCGGAGCCATAGTATGGCATGTAGGGCATTTGCCCTTCCAACAGCCGACCCAGGTTCAATCTCTGGCATCCCATGATTCCCCCAAGCATCACCAGGAGTAACTCCTGAGTGCAGAGCCAGGAGTAACCCATCAGCATTACTGGGTGTGACCCCAAAAAGTAAAAAAAAAAAAAGAAAAGAAAAGAAAAACTTGTCAAGTTACTAAAACCAAGATAATAGTTTTCCAGGGTGCTTATATCCAAGGTTTGAAAACAAGCTGTAACTGAGATTGTTTTTCTTAAATTTCTGCTTTGGCCGGTACTTTACATTTTGAAGATTTTTTTTATAATGTTGCAATATATTTATAAACCTTGCTTGTGTTTTTTTTTTTTACTTTCTAAATGCACTTGATTTAGGAAATGCATTAAAAAATAAAAACATTTAGTAAGTATAGAATTTACAGGAAAAAGTGTAAATTGTGTTCACATTCTAAACTGACGTGTAGGTATGTTTTTAAGCACTCTGTTAGGTAAGATCCTTGTATCGGCTAATTTGTACACACAGTTTTGAGGGAAGAGAATCCTAGTAGATCTTGGAAATAGGAACTTTCATAGGAAAGTTAACTGCATGGATACAGTAGGCATAATTTTAGCTTCCTAGAAGAAGCTCACAATTGCTACATGGATAGAATGGGTATAATTTTAGCATCTGAAAGGCTCACAATATCCTTTAATTGGTAGACTCTCTAAAAGTCACGCAGAGAAGTACAGAGCTATTTTTAAGATATGGAAGTTTAAAGTGGAGTTTGGCTTATGAAATGTCACTAGAACAATTTAATGAAGCACGTTAAGATACATTTATTTTTCCCTTCTGTTGGCATAGATTATTTCTACAGAAAGGCATATTTAATGAAGCACATAAGATACGTTTATTTTTCCCTTCTGTAGGGCATAGATTATTTCTAGAAAAAGGCATATATATGTGATACATATAAAATAGAATCTTGTCATTTTGGTGTTAGGGTGACAGTGGGGATTTGAGGGTTTTCTTGTTTTTTAGTTCAGTGGAACATATAGATTAATGTTAATTTGGGGAATGTGTCTGCAAAACATGTACATTAGTAACTTTCCTTCGATATTTAGAGAAAAAGTAAATAGCCTCTTACTATATTTATTCAATTGGATCGGGGGGAATGGACCTACAGTACTTATTCTAAAATACTGCTTAGCATCCTTAAACACCTTACCAGAGAACCGAGGTTTACTATCTTTGTGAATGTGCTGTTTCACAGTTCAGTTTACTAGAAGTTATTTTGAAAAATAGTATTGCTGAGTTATGGTGAAAGAGGAGTAATCTTGCTAAATCACAGTTAAAGTAAATGTAAATATTATCTAGTGAAAATAGTTTGATTTGGGGGCTGGAGAGATAGTACAACAGGTAGAGGACAACATTGAGAGAGGCCTTGTATGTGGCTGACCTCCATATAGTCCCCCAAGTACAAATCCTCCTCCCCTCCAAAAAAATGCTTAGTTTCCATGTGAATCCTTATGCTAAAATTTAGAATTATTTTCTTGCTCTGAGGAAAGTTTACTATCTGTTAACTTTCCTGTGATTAGTCTTGGTCATCCCTCAACTTTTAAATACTGATGGAACCATTAAGAAATTTAGGGAACCAGAGCGACAGTAAGGGGGTAGGACATTTGCCTTGCATGCAGCAAACCCAGGTTCAATCCTTAGTAACCCATGTGGGTCCCTGAGCACAGAGCCAGGAGTCATCCCTGAGCACTGGCCTTCCCCCCAAAAAAAAAAATAAAATTTATAATAGGCAGGGAAGTTGGAGGTTTGGCGAATACATTTAGAATAAAATTGTTTTTCCTCTTCCATTTGTTGTTGTTATAATAGAGATTACACACACTTGGCTGTGGTGCTTAAAGGGCCCACACGCTTTCGTTATGGTGCTTGTGCATCATTGCTTACCATGCACCTGAGACCGCACACTCCATTGTGGCACTGGAATTCTCAGATGTGGTGCTGCCAGATTGCATTCAGCATGTGAGACTGTGCAGGGATCAGACCCCACCTTGATGCATTAATGTTTTGTGTTGAGGGAACTGAACCCAGAGATTCACACATAGAAAGCAAGTGCTTCACTACACAGCTATTTACCCAACACTCGTTTTCCTCTTTTCAACTTTGCCACATTGCAATTTGTTGAAGATGGTGAAGTGGCCAAAACTAGTACTAAGTCAAAGATGTACTTTGAACCTGAAATGAGATTTGAAAGCATCTGATTGTGAGTATTCTGAATTCAGCTAGAATTAGATGTGTGTTGGCTATATGCATTAATAGATTATCCAGGCAATCTAAAATTAGTAACATAGCCAAAGCCAATTTTTTAATTTGACTTTCTTCAGAGTAAAACATACAAAATGATTTTCTCAGCCTAGTAATAACTGTATGGCTAAAAAGAAAATTGAAAGCACCCCAACAGAGCAGAAAACAGCTGAAAAATTTATTTATACTCTATAGAAAGCTTTTTGTGTGTGTGTAGATTTTCTGTGGGTGTTTGTGGGCATTTTGTTATCTCCTTTGGAATTTAACATCTTGATTCCTATTTATTAGGTCATGAAACATGTGTAGAACTTCTTTTAGAACAGGAAGTTTTCCAGAAAATAGAAGGAAATGCTTTCAGTCCATTGCATTGTGCTGTGTAAGTAAAGTCAAAATGAATCATATTTGGTCTGACTGTTTTTAAGAAATAACACCATTTCTGTAAATGTGATCACCTTGTTATCTTACACAGGATAAATGACAATGAAGGTGCTGCTGAGATGTTAATTGATGCATTAGGAGCCAGCATTGTGAATGCCACAGATTCGAAAGGAAGGTAGGAATTAATTCAGCTGGTTAATGAAGGAAGTGATTTTACTTTCTATAAGGAAAACACTTCATCTGTTAGTTTAGCATGAAAGACTGTATAGAGTATCTGTTGAAAGATTGTTTTTATATTTGCAAATGGAAAATGTTTTAAAATTTGTTTTAAATTTTTATTTTTTTTTTATGTAGGAGTACTGCTGTTTATTCAGCCACTGATTAGCTGATTGAATTGTGCATGAACTCCACCTTACTTTTTTTTCTTTTTTCATTTTTTATAATTTTATTTATTTATTTATTGGATCACTGTGAGAGCAGTTACAAAGCTTTTGGGTTTAAGTCGAAGTCTTGGTCATACAATGAAACACCCATACCTTCACCAGTGCCGTTTACTTTTTTGGTAAACTTTACCCCAAGTTTTTGGGGTCTGTCCAAAGGCACAGCAGCAATTTTGGGGTATCTGGAAGTCTGAAGGCACCATCAGGCTGCTGATGCACTTGCCTACAGATTTACCTGCTGGCAGCACCATATCCCCATAAAAATTTTTTTAAAATCTTGCTGGGATCAAGCCCTGTCAGCTATATGTAAGATAAGTACTTCTCTCTCACCTTATCATGTAATTTTTAACCTGCCTTCCTCTTAAAACCCTCAATAGATAATTTTTTAAGAGGTGTGTTTGTTTTCTTCAGAGAGCACTGTTAATTTCCTAAATATGAGTAAAAGCTGAAAGACATTCTGTCAGTTGCAGCTGACCAGAATTTTCTTCAATTTTTTTTTTTTTACGTAATTTATTTTAGCAGTTCTATTATTCTGATGTGTATAGGTTTCACTGTTGACCTTTTATATTATCAGAAATACAAATTTCTGGGTTCAGAGAGATAGTACAGCAGGTAGAGTGCTTATCTTATACACAGCCAACCGAGGTTCAGTCTCCGGCTCCCCCAAGCACTGCCAGTAGTGACTCCTGAATGCAGAGCCAGGAATAAGCTCTGAGCAGCACCAAGAGTGGCCAAAAACAAGAAAACAACCATTCCCCCCCCCCCTGCAAAAAATGCAAATTTCTGTGACAGGCAATAAACCTATCTGTTTTAGTCCAAGAAATTGTTTTATATAGCGGTGTGTGTGTGTCTGTGTGTGATGTGTGTTGTAGCTCAGAAATTTAGTCCAATCTTCCCACTTCTCTGTATTGCAGAACTCCTCTCCATGCGGCCGCCTTCACAGACCATGTAGAGTGTTTACAGCTGCTGCTCAGCCATAATGCTCAAGTCAATTCCGTGGACTCTTCTGGGAAAACACCTCTCATGATGGCAGCAGAAAACGGACAAACAAATACAGTTGGTAAAGAAACTGATTAAGGGTTTTATTACTCATAATATGTTTATTGTTTTTGTGTAACTAGTAAGCAAGGTCCCAGACTTTCTCACTCTGTTTCAAGGAATTTCCCACAAGTTGTCTCAGCACTCCTGAGATTTAAAATCTCTTAGCTACCGAAAGTCAACATTTTTATTTAGGGCCACACTGTTTTTGTTTGTCTTTACTGTGTCTGCAGATAGAACAAAAAGCCAACCAGAGTCACAAAGGGGTAAGGCACTACTGACTGCAAGCAGCCTCCCCTGATTGAATTCCAAAACCACCTGTGGTCCCCTGAGCAATACAAGGTGTGGCCCAAACTCTGCCCCCCAAAATAGACTAGAGGAGCCAGAAGATAGCTCAACAGCACATGCTCTGCACACCAGGAGGCTTGACTTGAGTCGCAGCACTGCCAAAGGCACCAAACTGGAATAACCCCTGGGCATGGCGGGTGTGGCCTTCCCCCCAAAGAAAAAAGAGCAGCCAGGACCCAAGATTTGAAATTTTGCACTTGAGTTTTTGCTAGAGGAATGTTTTTTACCTTGTCTTTATTTTTCTGCAATTAGTTATTAGTATTCTAAGAAATATGTTTATAAACATAAAAACTGATGCAACCTTCCCTCCCAGAGATGCTGGTTAGCAGTGCTAGTGCAGATCTGACTTTACAAGATAACAGTAAAAACACTGCCCTCCATTTGGCTTGCAGCAAGGTATGTTCATGTTTCAAGAATGTGTTTTCATTGTTAATGTTAACAAGGGTATTTAAAGTTTCTCCGTTGCACTGAGCAGAGAGCTAGGAACCAAATCTCTTTAATGACTGTCAGGTTTGTTTATTTATTTTTAACATGATCTTTAGAGACACAATGGTAAATTAGATTTATTTTAGAGCCATCCTTGGCTTGAATTCTTTGGAGCACCAAAGATAAGCCTAAATATAACTGTAATTATTCTTGTTTGTCTTCTCCCACTACCTGCACTCCAAAACACTTAGCCTAGAAAGATCATGGCATGTATATTATAATGTGCATATTGAATGGAGTAGGTGTGTGAGGGGAGGCAGGTGGTTGATTATACAAACTTAAAATTTTTAAATCTAAAACAGTATCCAACTTTTTAAGTGTTAATTGCAATAATTGCAGGGTCATGAAACTAGTGCCTTGTTAATACTGGAAAAGATTACAGATAGGAACCTCATCAATGCAACCAATGCAGCCTTGCAAACGTGAGTACTTTCAACATCTAGTACAAACCCATTTTTCCTAACATGAGTCCTTTAAATCTGTCTCAGTCATAAAAGCAACTAAAAAGAAAAGAACAATTCTGTAATTGGCAAAACTCATCAATTAAACAGTAACGACAAGTCTCACAATGGAGACGTTACTGGGCCCGCTTGAGCAAATCAGTGAACAACGGGAGGAAGTGCTACAGTACTATTAAAACTTTATTATCAAATTGTCTATTCATGTCATTTGATGTAAGAAAATTATGCTATTGTGTGCTCATGGAAACCACAGAGAATGAGGTGTTTTTTGTTTTTGATTTTACTTAGCAAAAAATGAAACAAAGATTTTAAATATATAAGCTAAAAAGATTTTCAAAATAATGACCCTTTTTACCCTGAGCAGCCCATCTCATTGACTGCTTAATAAATCTTCGATGAATGTCTTTCAGTGTTCTTTCTATTCTACTTTTGAGACTTGGGAAAGAAAAAAAACCTTACAGTACTGGTTTTTATGTGTCAGGCCCTAATGACAAATTCCCACCTTTCCCAGACTGTTTTGTACAAAACTTGGCTGGAACGTGAGCCACATTGGTTTTACTGTTTTCAACTCCTGTCCCCACTGCTATTAGGACTCAGTTGGTATCTCTGACTCTTCACAACTCAGCCAGATGTTCTTTGACAACCAGAATTAAGAGGGAAACATAGGGCTCAGTGGTAAACTGTTTGTCTTGCATGTATTAGGCCCTGGGTTCAATCGTTGCCCCCCCCCAGCCCCCCAAAAAAATTGGGAGAGGAGGCAGGGATTACAGAGATAAGGGCCAGAGTAAATGTGTACACGCATGTGAACATACATTTTATCCCCAGACCTCTGCATGTTGCTGCCCGAAATGGGCTGACAATGGTGGTTCAGGAACTGTTGGGGAAAGGAGCAAGTGTCCTTGCAGTAGATGAAAATGGTAAGTAGGCTCATTATTTTCTTCCCCAAACCTGTATCTTACTACAAGTTTTACATCTTTTTTTGGGTCACACCTGGCTATGCTCAGGGGTTACTCCTGGCTCATACACTCAGGAATTACTCCTGGTGGTACTTGAGGGACCAAATGGGATGCTGGATGCTGGGAATCGAACCCGGGTCGGCTGCATGCAAGGCAGATGCCCTACCTGCTGTGCTATCACTCCAGCTCCAGTTTTACATCTTTTGACAGTTCATTTTGAAGTAAACTGGGATACAGTTATTGGTCATAGGGGAGAGCTGAAATGAATGTTAAACAGTGCTGTGACAGGGGAGTAAAGTGCTAGAGAAATAGTGTATTCAACAGAAGAACTTCTGAACTCCACACACTAGAGTTGGGGCTGGTCCCAGCTTTTGTGATTGATGCATCTTCCCCTCTGTGGCAATTCGGAGGTCTGTTTCAAGACTTTTAGTTCCAGTTCTTTTTTTTTTTTTAATAAGGAGATTATTTTTTGATTTTTATTAGTGAGACACCTTGAGGTACAGTTGTAGACTTACAAATTTTTGTGCTTGGGTTTCAATTATACAATGATCAAATACCCATCCCTCCACCAGTGCCCATTTCCCACCACCACAGATCCCAGTATCCCTCCCAACCCCCATCCCCCCCACCCTACCCTGCCTCTGTGGCAGGGCATTCCCTTTTGTTCTCTCTCTCCTTTTGGGTGCTGTGGTTTGCATTGAGTGGCAATCATGTTTGGTCTATAGTCTACTTTCCGCATGCTTCTCCCATCCTGGGAGGATCCTCGCAACACCCTTTACTTCGTGCTCCCTTCTCTATCTGAGCTCCCTTTTCCCCTAGCATGTGTGGCTGGCGTCCAAGCCATGGAGCAAAATTCCTGGTACTAATCCTGGCCATTCTTGGATGTTAGTCTCCTATTTTGTTACTTTATGGTCATCAAGTCAGGTCCATGTATGACGCCCTTTTCAACTTTTCTCTAATTAGGGTGTACTTCAGTATGCAATCAGTGTATTTAGGTTCCAAGAAATTGAATTATATTCCAGCCTGCTGCTCTTCTTCTATTCCACCTAACCTGGAGAAAAACAACGCTGTAGGCAAAAGTGTGTGAAAAGACACAGAATTTTTGTAAAAATATTTGACATGTTGGTTAATTCTAGTTTCCTTTTTTTTTTTTTTTTTAATTTTTATTAGTGAAACACCATGAGGTACAGTTGTAGACTTACAGATTTTTGTGCTTGGGTTTCAGTTATACAGTGATCAAGTACCCATCCCTCCACCAGTGCCCATTCTCCACCACCAATGATCCCAGTATCTCTCCCACTCACCCCCCCCCCCCAATCCCACCCCGCCTCTGTGGCAGGGCATTCCCTTCTAGTTTCCTTTAAAAATAACTTATGGGTATGGGATCATTTTATAATTGAAACCCAAGCACAAAATTTGTAAGTCTCACTAATAAAAATTTTAAATAAATAAAAATAACCTATGGCATGTAAATTTGACACTTAATGTATGTTGTTGTTATTTTTTAATGGGGGCAAATTGAGGTACATTTTCCAGTACTCAAGGATTTTGGTCTTAAAGTTTGCCTGAAATTCTCAGGCTTTGATGGCAACCTTTCACCATATCATGATTTTCTTTAGGTATATTGCTCTAAGCAAAAGTTGTACAGCAAAACTTCGTTGTAAAAAATAAACTAGAGTCAATATATATTTACTAGCTTTGGTTTAATTACTTCCTTTATTTATCTCAATAAAATGAATTTATCTGGGCCAGAGCATTAGTACAGCTGCAGGGTGCTTGCCTTGCACACAGCTGACTTGAGTTCAGTCCCTGGCATTACATGTGGTCCCTTGAGAACTGCCAGGTGTGGCCCCCAAAACCAAAAAGTAAACAAAATAGTTTGATTTTTAGCATATTTTTATCAATACCTTTAAGTGCCAGTTTTTTGTCTTAAGCTAATTTAGATAAAATTAGCACATAAGCACTACATTCTGCCACTTTCAGGGTATCGTTTCTTTCCTAATAATTCTTTTCTTTGAATCCTGTAATTGGTTTTTTCAGGACTACAGATTATTATCCGTACAGACATTTCTTTCATCATTTTAATTTTAACCCTCTTCTCTCTCAACTTTTTTAATATTGGAGGCCTCTAAGACTTGGTCCTTGACTCTTTTTGCTTTCCTGATCTACATTTACAATACATACATAGGTTAAGGCATTTGCCTTGAAGGAGACCAATCCTAGTTCATTACCTGGCACTGAGTGGAGGATAGAGACCCAGGTACCACTGGGTGTAACAAAACAAAAATATTAAGTGTCTCATACCTTTCCTTGATTCTAAATATTACTTAAATTCTGATCCCCGCATGGCAGAACCTGGCCAGCTCCCCATGGCACATTCGATATGCCAAAGACAGTAATAAGTCTAACAAGTCTCACAATACTTCCACTACCCAGCCGTCGCCACACTCCAGGATGCTTTCCGGATCCGCTCGGCCGCAAAGCGGCCGTGCGACACATCATAAGACACTAAATACCCATCTTCCGGAATTGTCGTACCGTATTTGATAGGGTTCAAATATGGTAACACCTACAAGGGTGATTAGAGGTCACCCCAAAAGCCTCTATCCCTCTCGGAAAGACTGGCAAGCTACCGAGAGTATTCCGCCCGCACGGAAGAGCCTGGCAAGCTATCCGCTGTGTATTCGATATGCCAAAACCAGTAACTACAACTGGTCTCATTCACCTGACCCTGAAGGCTTCACCGACATGGCAGCACTGAGAAGGATGAGAAAGGAGAGGCCGACAAAATCTCAAGGCCGACCTAGGCTGCCACAACGAAGGAAGACAAAAACGATCGTCTGTACTTTCAATGCACGTATGCTAGCATCAGATGCATCCATCGAGGACCTGATGGTACAAGCGCAAATGATCAAGTACGACATCATTGGTCTGACCGAGACAAGAAGGCACGAATCTCACCATGCCGTTTTCGACACTGGAGAAGAATTGTTCCTCGGAACATGCGATAAAAGAGGTGTTGGAGGCGTCGATGTCCTTGTCAACACAAACTTGGCCAAGAGCATTGATTCATTCGAATGCCTAACAACCCGAATCGGACGTTTACATTTGAATAGATGTGGCTCACTCCTGCAGTTTCTATCTTCGTTGTCTACGCACCAACATCTCATTATGATGAAAGAGAAATCGAGAAGTTCTACATGGAGCTAGAGAAGTTCCATAAAGAAGACCACACCTTCTACAAGATCATTGTGGGTGATTTTAATGCCAAGATAGGACCGAGAAGATCAGCTGAAGAACTTCACATCGGGACTCATGGCCTAGAATGGAACGAACAGGGTGAGAGACTGTCTGAGTTCATCATGTCAACCAAGACCATTCATGGTAACTCACAGTTCCAGAAGGCAGAATCTAAACGATGGACATGGGAGTCTCCCGGTGGACGATTCCACAACGAAATAGACCACATCATATTCAATCGACGGTTTTGCCTGACTGATGTCTCTGTTGTCCCAAAATTTCGAATGGGATCGGACCACCGTCTCCTTCGTGCAAAATTCTACTTCACAGAGCGGGGAGAAAGGACTGCAAAGTTCAAAAAGAGAACTCCCAGAATGACCACCAACTGGGAACTCTTTGGTACTATTGCGGCAACATGGGAAGATGCCATTGTTGACAACATTGACGAGGAATACAATTGACTGGTTCAGCACCTCCGTGAATGTGCGAGGAACGCCAAGAGAGAGATAGCCACAAAAAATCGCCTATCTTCGAAAACTCTTGAGCTAATTCGCCAGCGTGGTTTGGCGCATGCCTCAGGCAACCGCAAGCTAAGGTCCGAGCTCACAAAGCAGTGCAGAGATGCGATCAAGGAAGACCTCAAAGAGAGAAGAGCAGAAGTACTGGTAGATGCGGCAGAAGCTGGGAAAAGTATTCGTAACGCCCGCCTGTCCTTCGCCAACTATAATGTTCATTGATTTAAAGAAGGCCTTTGATTCTGTTGAGACGGAAGCGGTCATTGAAGCCCTAGCCAATCAGGGCATTCAAGCCCAATACATCAGGATCCTCCGTGAGCTGTATTGAGACCAGGATCTCACCATTCTACAAAGAAGTGATCGTTGATGTCAAGAGAGGGGTGCGGCAGGGTGATACCATTTCACCGAAACTCTTCAGTGCCACCCTCGAGAACATCATGCGACGACTGGAATGGGAAGGAATGGGAGTGAAGATAGATGGTCGGCAACTACACCACCTCCGCTTTGCTGATGACATTGTTTTAATAACACCAAACATCAGCCAAGCGGCACAAATGCTGGCCGACTTTGACCATGAGTGTGGAAAGGTAGGACTACAGCTGAATCTTACGAAGACAATGTTTATGAGAAACAGCCTCGTTCCTGACGCCCCATTCGCTCTCAATGGAACGACCATTTCCGAATGCAACAGCTATGTGTACCTAGGTCGAGAGGTCAACATGACAAATGACCTGGCACCCGAGCTGCACAGGAGGAAGAGAGCGGCTTGGAACGCCTTCAAGAACGTCGAAGAAATAGCTAAGAGGACGAAGAACCTCCGGCTCCGGGCACATCTCTTTGATTCCACTGTTCTTCCTGCATTAACATATGCCTCAGAGACCTGGGCCCTACGCAAACAAGACGAGAACGCTATTCAGGTCTCCCAAAGAAGAATAGAAAGAGCTATGCTTGGAATATCACGTTTCACTCAAATGAGAGAAAGAATCCATAGTTCTGACATCCGTCGACGATCAAGAATCAGGGACGCTGTCTCATTTGCCAAGGTGTCGAAAATCAGATAGGCTGGTCACGTAATGAGATTTAAAGACGACCGCTGGACTAGAGCTGTTACCGACTGGATTCCACGGGACGTCAAAAGACCGCGTGGCCGCCCACCTACCATATGGTCAGACTTCTTTGTCAAGATCATGAACGATCGGTTTGAGGCCCTTCATGTTCCCGGAGCGAAGAGATGCCATTGGGCTACACTAGCACGCGACAGGGACAAATGGAGACGTTACTGGCGCCCGCTCGAGCAAATCGACGACTAACGGGAAGTTAAGTGATAAGTGATTAAGTCTCACAATGGAGATGTAACTGGTGTCCACTCGAGCAAATCGATGAACCACGGGAGGACAGTGCTACAGTGCTACTTAAATTCTGAGAATCCCCAAGTTTTTATTTCTGGCCCAGGCTATCTCCCAGTTTCCTTTTTTTATAGATTGGTCATATCAGCCGGTTGTCTGTTATGTTAGACAGTTAAATATAACATGTAGCTTGCTTTTCAAGCTCATATTCTTGAATACATATTTCTCTTGCTTGTCTCTATGTTTCTTTGCTTGCCTGTTTCTACTCTGGAGAAGCCTATGTGAACACATACTTCTTTCTCTCCCGTCTCATATTTCTAAATAAGTTTCAGTAAAAACTCTCTTGTTCGGGGCTGGAGTGATAGCACAGCGTGTAGGGCGTTTTCCTTACACGCGGCCAACCCAGGTTTGATTCCCAGCATCCCATATGGTCCCCGAGCACTGCCAGGAGTAATTCCTGAGTGCATGAGCCAGGAGTAATCCCTATGCGTAGCCAAGTGTGACTGGGGGGGAAAAAAAAACAAAACTTTTGCTTCAACAACAACAAAAAGTATTATGTACTGGGGTGCACTGTATAGATGGCTCAGCAGGCTAGAGCACATACTTTCCATGCACGAGTCCAGGCTCAGCTCCCAGCATGGCATATGATCACTCAGCACCACCAAGAATGATTCCTGGATATCCCCAATACCCCATGGGCACTACTGGGTGTAGTATTGTCCACCCACTCCCACCCCCTCCATCCCTGGTGTACTGTGCAAAACTAAGCTGCTGGCTTTCCACAGCTTATAGGTACTTTATCCTTGACTCTTACACAAAAAATATGATCCACCTCCAAAAAAATATTTTTATTTACTGGGCTGTGATCCTTAAAAGTTCATCAAATACTCAGGTATCATTTAACACACATTTTTTACTCAGAAAGAGTGCATGCCCAGTACCTGATTCATCAATTTGTATATGTACAGATTGTCTGCATATAAGCCCTTACTTAAATATTATGATTGCCTAAAATAAGATTTGTCAGGGTTTTTTTTTCTTATTCTGTGGATAAGTTGTGTGTTTTTAAGCCTATTTCCTCTTCTGTAATATAATCTATAAGGTCCACTCACATTTCACTTCTTACATTTCACTGCATAATCGTCACAGATTTTATGCAAAAGGTTTTTTGGCAACAAATATAGAATGTGATCTTTCTGTACAGTTTTTGTTTTGGCTTATTTTTAATTGTGCTGACTTTAATGCACTGTTTATGTAGTGAAATACTGTAGTTCGATCATTTTTCTTTTTCTTTACTCAGTGGAAAGTTCTGAGTCATACTAAGGAAGCCAGTTTATTATAAACCATGTAATTTAAAATGTCTAAAAGTTGAAAGCCTTCGGGCTTGTTTTTTTTCTTATGTAAGTTTTGGAATAAGTGTTGGCATGTTTAATTTTTTTATTTCATCTTTAATTCTAGGCTACACCCCAGCTTTGGCCTGTGCTCCCAATAAGGATGTGGCTGATTGCCTCGCTCTCATCTTGGCCACCATGATGCCTGTCTCAGCAAGTAACTCTTTATCATCCCTGACCTTCAATGCCATTAACCGTTATACCAACACCTCAAAAACAGTTAGCTTTGAAGCTTTGCCTATCATGAGGAATGAACCTAGCTCCTATTGCAGTTTCAACAATATTCTCGGGCAGTTCTTATATACTGATGTGGATGAGCTCAATGACTCGGATTCCGAGACCTACTAAGAAGCTGAGCCAGAGTTCCAGGAAGGACACTCTGACACTAATGTTTCAAACTGTGCTTTTTCAGGAAAAGGGCACTTTCTTATTCACGTACAAATTCAACCTAAGAGGAAGGATCACAGAACAGGCGAAATGTAAGAAAAGGATGACATTAAGAAGAAATTTAAAGGCAAGTTTGCAAAAGGAACTTCTAGAATCTTGAAGTAGACTTGACCAGAAGAAACTGTTTTGATGTCAAATTGCTTTGCGGAATCTTTAGATTTGATTTTGCAGTGCCAGGAGTAATTTGGGACGCTGTGCACCCTAATCTGCTTACACACACTATTATTAAAGAAGAGATAAGGACACTAGATTTGATTTTTACCAATAAAACTATCAATTTAAAGGCAATAAAAGTTTGGTACAGTAGGCATTGTGTGCACAGTAAATTGCCAAAGGACCAAATAACTTTAAGGTTTTTAATGAATGCCATTTGTGGAAACTGCAGGTGTAGGTGAGATGAGGTGTTCTCTAAACCAAACTGTAATATTTCTGAAAATGAAGTGAGATTTGGTTTTAAATGTTTTTTTAAAGAAAACATCTGAAAGCCTTCTAATAATGTATTAAACCATGAGAGAAAGCAGGTGTATTTTTACATTTTTTTCTTTTACATAAAAATTTAAGAATTCCAACTTTTATAATACTAGACTTGAAAACCAGCTGACTGGGTGCAGTCAGGATGAAAATTCCTGTGATGTAAATTTAAGATGGATTGGGCTCAGGCTATTGCCCAGTTATGGATGGTGTAGGTTTTTAATTCAACTATTTTTGTTTGGAAAATGTAAAGAATTTCCTAGAAGAAAAAAAGTCATGAAATCAAAAAGAACATTATTTTCACCCTGTTGCAGCTAAGTGGTTCTGGGTAATGGTGTTTTCAGTCTCACTACCTTGGATGGTATACCTTTGTCACTTATGTTCCCTTGTGCCTCCACAATGGATTGGTGAGTTGCCATTTTTTAAGGAAGAATCAAAAGAAAAAATCCTTTATTGTAAGTTATCATCATCAAGTCTCTTAAAAGACTTTTCTGTGTTGGGCAAGATTTAAAATCCGAAAGCCTTTAGGTCCTGTTCACATTTATGTAGCATGTTGTAACATGTTACTATTTGGGGAAAGAAGCAATTGCCTACAGAATTGGAAGACTGCCTTCCAAGTACAAAAAAAGAGAAGACTGACATGAAGGCTTTTAAAGAATTTATATGGTTCTGCTTTTCCTGTAACTGTCACTTTCCCAGTGAGAGAATGAGTTCACGTACATAGGGGCTCTTTAAAAAGTCTGGGTAACGGTCCATAAATTTTCGCAGAATACCCAATTTCATTTTATCCTTTTTGTATTGTGAAACTGGAAACTTTATGACATTGTAAATTATCAGCTGGTTTTTCTGAATATAAAGTGTGAAAACACAGAACAGTATTTTGATCTATTTGATAATTTTGTGGGGTTTTTGAAGAATTAATGAGCATGTACATAGAAATAGTGACTGCTTGAATACTGTATTTACTTGCACTCTTTCAGTACATCAAGATTTCTGTATATTTTAGAGTATAATAAAACACAAATGTGAGTTGTATTTAATGAATAATGTATTTGTATCTGTGCATATTACCTAAAAATCTATAAAGTTTCTAGGGCATTGACTACTAATTTTAAGCATTTTTTCTAAACTATTTACAGAAATTACAAATGTAATCCTCCATCTTTTCTTTTTAATATAAAAAAGTCCTAATGGACCCCCTCCTCCTTATAGTGATAGGAAGGGGAGATATGCATTTTAAAGACAGCAGACTACATTTTCTATTGTACCTTTTGAAAAAAAAATCACTCGAGGATTCTAAAGGTATACGTATGTGTGCTTTCTCTTTCCTTTTAGGAATTCTCTTCTGAATTCCCTGAGGGAATTTTCTAGAATCTCAGAATTGAAAGAGACCCTCTGAGGTTCATCCAGTCTAACCTCTTAACAAATGCAGGAGTCCCTTCTACAAGGGTGATCTTTCCACCTTGAACACTTCCAGTGACTCTACCTCACCAAGCAGTCCATTCGGTTGTTGAGCAGCTCTAAGTGTTAGAAAGGTCTTCCTTAGATGGCATTGAAGCCTCCCTCTCAGTAACCTCCGTCCTTGGGCCCGGGTCTGTCCTCCAAGAGAACGCTGAGGACATTGGAAGGATGAATCGCGCCTGCCATGTCTTCTCTTTCACAGGCTATTTTTGCATCTGCTGAAGTGATTTCCAGAAGGACTCATTAGACACACCGTTAGATTTGTGGCATCTGATGAAATCCAAGGTGTAGCTACAAAGTAACAAGCTGTTTTTAATTTCTCCTCACACATTCCAGAACTTAGATCTTGCATCACTGTTTGTAAACGATGCTCCTTCTGAAAATATTTGTGAGGTGGTTCTTTGAATTGCTTGCTCAGCAGGAAAATTCCATTGCTTTGTGATCGCACTTTGTGATAGCATTTTGTGATAGTCTGTTTATCTCCCAGCTTGATCAACCATTTCTTTAGGTCTGCACCAAATGTGGGTTAATCCCAAGGTAAATAGTATTTGGACAGTATTGGTATTGTTGGAGTAAGTCCATGGACAACTTAAATGAATGAACACAGCAAGTTCCTTTATAGTTACACCTTGTATGTCAAAAGCATTCAGGTCTGTCGTATTTTTTATTCTCGCACAAAATAGAAAAGCCTGTTTGCTTTTTTAACTTCTGCATGAAAGATGACATCTGAAATATCTGATATGTATTTTAATACCAGCTTCTGCTCTAGAACTACTTTGGGAGAAATGGTGGTAATTGCAAATGACCTCCTTTAACAAGACAAGACACTCAACTCAGTGCCATTTTAGTTCAGGAGATACCTAAATATAGCTGTCAGTTGGGGTGTAATTTGGCTTATATTGGACCTTTTAAATGAAATAAAGTTTTTTAATGCAATAAACCAAGTGTCCTTTTTTACAAACTTCTTTATCTTGAAATATTTCATAGTAATCATATATAGTTTTATAATTTTGTTTTAAAACAGGCTCATCTAAAATCGAAGTGTTCTAAATGGACTTTTCAAATATATCATTCAAAAATGTTTATGGCTTGTCTGCTGTATTGGGGGGCGCAGGTGGCAGTGGGCAGGAACTGAACCTTGAATTTGAGATCTTGTCCTCAGAGCTCAGTGTTTCATCATGGAAAGTTACTGGAAAGATACTGAAAGGATAAAGTACACTGTATACTGAAAGTATATAATGTTTAATTGAGGGAAAAATGAATTGCTAAGGAAACTCATCAAGATTGCTTTGGGAGAGAAGATCAGAAGTGTTAAGGAAGTGATATTTACAGATAAAAATACAAACAGACCCTGAGAATCTGCAGTAATTGAGTCTGCCAGTTTTGTTTTCTATTTTTTCTTTTCTTTTTTTCTTTTCTTTTTTTTTGCTTTTTGGGTTACACCCAGCAATGTACAGGGGTTACTCCTGGTTCATGCACTCAGGAATCACTCCTGGCAGGGCTCAGAGAACTATATGGGATGCTGGGAATCGAACCTGGGTCAGCCGCGTACAAGGCAAACGCCCTACCCGCTGTGCTATTGCTCCAGCCCCTAGTCTGCCAGTTTAGAGAGGTGGGGAGTTGTGGAGCAAGTAAGATGGAACCTACTGGGGCCAGATTAGTGCAGCAGGTAGGATGCTTGCCTTACATGTAAACAACCCAGGTTCGATCCCCAGCACCACATACGGTCCCCCAATCCTGCCAGGAGTGATCTATCCTGTGCACAGAGCCAGGAGTAACTCTTGAGCACCATTGAATGTGGCATAAAAACAAAAATAATTTTAAAAGGGACCTAGGGATAGCTGTTGGGAGGGTTATTGGCATTGTGTGGGTGGGTAAATGTATTGTAGTAATGTATGCCCAAAATAGTAAAATATGACCCTTTTTTGGAGGGGTGTGCTTTTTTGGGTCACACCCGGCAATGCTCGGGTTACGCCTAGTTCTGCACTCAGGAATTATTCCTGGAGCTGCTCAGGGAACCGTATGGGATGCTGAGGATCAAACTGGGGTCAACTGCATCTGGTCCCATGACTCTATTTTCCAAGTGCCGTCTAGACTGGACCTAAGGGAGAGAACAAGAGTTGAGAAGCCAAAAAGAGGCATAGAATTAATTGGTGTGAGGGGAGCTAGGTGGAAATAGTTACCAGTAGCATTCCTTAACATGGAGAGAGTTATCACTTTTAAGTAAATAGATGGTTGAAGGAGCAGGCTGAGTCCTCTTCCACAACTGCTTTTATCAAAGTCATGTTAGTAACCTAACATAGATGAGGAGTGGGGCAGAGAAGTGAAGGAATATTTGCCAGGTGTTACTTGACCTGACCTGTAATGTGATGCATAGATTAAAATCCTGTCATTTCCAAGGTCAATGCTCTTAGCACCCTAATGAAAGAACCAGCATTCTTTCTGGTTCTTGTTAAGATTAGTGATTTTGAAGTTGGACCATATGCTTAGACTACTAAATCATCTTAGTCTTTTCAGTTTGGGTTTCTAATTTTAGAACCGTGAATGTGACTGCAGTAGATGTTTAGGTAGGTAACAGGAACTGCTGGGCTCTTGGCACATAGTTATAAAAGAAGTGACAACAAAGCTATGCCTTTCTGGTGCCTATGAATGATAGCTGCTGCTTAAAGAAAGAAAGAAACTTCTGCTGCCCTAAATCTCGTAAACTTAAGAGGATCGTCCATACTCTCGTCTTTGTAGTTCACCCAACCCTACACACTTGGCTGGGTAACTGTTTCAAGGTGGAGCTCTGCCTGAATTTTTTTTTTTTCATGAGATTACCTTGAGTTTGCTCTGTCTGTGGTCATACAGAAGTCCAAAAGTTTTCAATAATGATGACAAAAGCTAGCAAGCTTGACCACCACACAATTTCTGCCTCTGCGTGTTTTGTGTATCTTACTGCACTCACTACTGGGCAAAACCAAGCTATGCCCCACTGCAGTGGGGCAGTTTGTTTCGGTTCATTGGAGAAAGATTGAGTACAGTTATCACAATTTATTTAATTCATATAGCTGTGAAATGCAGAGCTTTACCACTTAGTACTATTCATTTGTCCATGAACATATTTGATGCTCAGATGAAAAACTGTAACACAAATGTGGCAGTTTTGTGGTTGTGTTTTTTGTTTGTTTGGGGGTGTGTGTGTGTGTGTGTGTGTGTGTGTGTGTGTGTGTGTGTGTTTTGCTTAACTTTAGAATGAACTGTTTATTTGGGGGACTGGGAAGGGCATACCCAGCAGGATTAGGAACCATTCCTCGCCCTTTGCTCAAGAATGATTCCTGGCAGTGCTCAGGGTACTGTTTGTGGTGGTCGGATTGAACCAGGATCAACCAAAGCATCACATGAAAGGTAAGTGCCTTTCCTTCCGTACTAACTGGCTCAGCAAAAGTTTATTTTAATCTATAATTGGCAATACAAACTGGTTGGATGATTGTGTATTTACTCTTACAAACATGGAAAAATGAACCTTTTGCCTACCTCAGACTTGAGAAAAATGTAACACTAGTACCTTCCCTTTTGTTTGACTGTGATTTTTGTTTGACTATAGGACAGTGACTGGGGAGACTTCCTGGTGCGTTTGTTGCTGATGACTGTCCCTTGTCCCCATCCTCCCCATCACCTACACACACACACACACACACACACACACACACACACACACACACACAAGGAACAGGGGCCACATGTTGGTAACTAGTAGTTGGTAGTCAGTGGCAATTTATTCAAATCTCTCAGTCTCAGTGTTAGTCATAGAGAAATCATGAATGTGTAGGGGGTAGCAATTACACATGGGTGTGGTTGAACATTAACATGAATAGTGAACAGATGTAAAGCCCTCCTTCAGGGAAAGTTTTAGGAGATCCACCCAAGGACAGAATATCTTCTAGGGGCTGCAATACTCAGTATTCTGACTAGGAGATCTCCCTAAAGGTGGAATTCCATCTAAGGACATATTTTCTCCCTTTCTTTGTTGGTGATCCTTTTAAACAATCATTAAATTGACAATATTTCTAGTCATTTTGTACGAACACAGAGATGCAGGCTTCATAAAAGCTTAAAAGGTAGCTTTTCCTGGGTACATCTCGCTGTATATCCCAGACTATAGTCCTTTGGCCAAGTTAGTTTTTCCTAACTCCCAACAGGGTCCTTATTCAGTTACTACTTTTTGGGTCATGACAGTTTGTTCCATGACCGTGCTCTTAATTTATTTTTCTTCTTAAGGTGCTTAGGCAGTCCCTTCCGGAATCCAGGGTAGCTTATGGCTTGCCCTGGGTCTCCAAGTTCCTCAGTGGTACCCAGCTTTTGGGGTGTTAGGAACCAAGGCCAACTTGAGGGCAAAGATGCTTAAGTAAATATGACATGTCCAGGAGTAAATATTATTTGGAGTTCGTTAACTTCCATGTTACAAAAGCATAGCTTTTACTGTCTACCTGTGTCTGTATAAAAAGTTAATTGCTCTAAAATAAACTATGCACCCAGAGAGGCAAAAAAGGATAGTCGAAGTGACATCTGCAGTTGTCTGTTCATTGCAGCACTGTTTACAATAGCTAGAATCTGGAAAAAACCTGAGTGCCCAAGAACAGATGACTGGTTAATGAAACTCTGGTACATCTACACAATGGAATACTATGTAGTTGTCAGAAAGGATGAAGTCATGAAATCTACATACAAGTGGCACTACATGGAAAGTATCATGCTAAGTGAAATGAGTCAGAAAGAGGGGGATAGACATAGAAAGATTGCATTCATCTGGGGAACATAAAGTAACAAAATAGGAGACTAACACCCAAGAATAGCCGAGGTAAGTACCAGGAGGATTACTCCATGGCCGCACACGCTAGGGGAAAAGGCAGCTCAGATAGAGAAGGGAGCACCAAATAAAGGGTGTTGGGAGATTCCTCTCAGGATGGGAAATGCGTGATGAGAGTAGACTATAGTCCGACAAGATTGCCACTCAATGTCTCTTGCAAACCACAGCACTCAAAAGGAGAGAGATAACAAAAGGAAATGCCCTGCCACAGTGGTAGGGTGGGATGGGGGGAAGGGGGGTGGGAGGGATACTGGGACTGGTGGTGGTGTAGAATGGGCACTGGTGGAGGGATGGGTATTCGATCATTGTATAACTGAAACCCAAGCACAAAAATGTGTAAGTCTGCAACTACCTCATGGTGTTTCACTAATAAAAATTTAAGGAAAAAATATATATATAAAAACTGAGGAGTTAGACTATAGAATAAATCCTGACATTACCATTAGCCAGGTGTGTGGTCCTAGGAAATAATTCCTCCAAATTTATCCACGAAGCAGTACACAAAGCTTCAAACTGTTATGAGCATTACCAGAATTAACAAATTTAACAATTAACTGACACAAATAAACTCATAATGACTGCTGTAATTTTTTCTATTATGATTTAACTAGTATTTAATTTTATTTTACTAACATTAAATTTTAATTTTTTATTATTTTTATCTTGGATCTGTTTATTTGGAACTTTACGGGCCTACTAATCACTTGTCTGGTATACAGAATTTAAATGCAGCACAAAAAAATTAATAAACTATGCAGAGGGCGTAAAGGAAAGAGAAAACCAAAATTTCACTTATGTATACAAAATCCAGAGCCATGAGATGGTTTGTCTTTTTATAAGTTACAGTGTCTGATTTGGAGGTATTCATGATTAACAGATAGGAGAAGAGCACATGGGAGAGGTTAAAGATAAAAAGGAGGCTTGGGAGTGCCCCAGTGGAATTGGGAGAACTGTGATGGGTGTGACTCAGTTAACCTAAGTTCTCTGCAGAAAGAGAAAGGACAGCCCATTGTTAAGCCTAAAATGCTTGGAACTGTAATGCAACATCGATCATCCCTTCCAAATCAGAAAGTAGTGAAATGAAGATAGAT